AGTGTTGGATGATCCGACACTCCCGGCGGAGAGACCAGGGGCCCGCCGCGCGCTGGATAACGATCTGGCGGCCGGCAACTTGCTGGGCCCCCCCCAGAGCCTGAGGCCCCCGCACCGGCGGTAGTTCCGCCACTGAGCAGATGCTTGGATTCACTATTTTATTTAACCCTGAGGCTATTATAGGTATTTATATAGCACTGACCATTTCTGCAGCGCTTTACATGCACATTCACATCAGTCTCTACCCTCATGGAGCTTACAATGTAAGGTCCCTTATTTCACATACAAGGGCCAATTTAGACAGGAGTCAATAAACTTTCCAGCATGTCTTTGGAGTATGTGAGGAAACCACAGTACATGGAGGAAAGCCATGCAAGCACAGACAGAACATGCTTGCAGATAGTGCACAACCAGGATTTGTGCTGCCCAGTGATGTAGACCCACTTTATCCTAATAAATATAGCCCCGGCTATATTTATGAGGATTTTTTTCAGTTGTCCTATAGTAAAATAAATGTCTTTTGGTGAGAGAAAAGCATATGTATTTCAATATAGGACACCTAAAAAAAAAATCCTAATAAATATAGCCTAAGGCTTATATAAAATACCATAAGGGGAAGCTATGTAATGTCATCAATGGTATTTTAAGGCTTTTCAAAGATTTGTTTCTACCCAATTTTTAAACCACATGACCATGCAGCCATACTGGACATTACATTCACCTCCGGAAAATGTGAAATCCCCTGCTTTTTAAATGTGCCTCTATGTGTCAGCTAACTCCCTGAAACCAGTGTACCCGATATCTGTGGCTGATATCGTGAGGGTTCACACGCACAGCCAGAAATGGCCGCAGTATACAAAATCGGCCAAATTCAAACCCTCTGCATTTAGTGAAGTGCACAAGTACCTTTACACAGCATGGCCAGTATATATCTAGCAAAGTGCATGAGCCCTAACAGTTCTTGAGCACGGGAGGCAGAGTTGAATGCAGAAATCTCTCAAACGTTTTTTATTTTATACTCAAATGTGAAAAAGTTAAGGTGTAATCCCAAATACACTGTAAACTTCCTATACTGCACTTTATGCTCCCACTATTTCCAGGGATTGTCAAAGCTAAATGACAGTTTTACAATGGACATTGATAAAACGCCACCATAAAACTATCCTGCCAGTTAATTTTAAAAAATGTATTTCAAGCTGCAACCAACAATGCTACTCTAATACTGCCAGAAAATGACGTTAAACTATTACTTGCAACTATGCATGCAAAGGAAGTACACATCCAAAAGGGATGCTGTGATATGCATTGCCTCAAATTACAATACAGACAGTGATGGTAAAGGCAGACGCACACCCTTCACACTTCACACTTCCTTTCAGCAAGAGCACGGACAGGGCCCATCGCCACATCTGCAGCAGATGTTAAGAAACTTTTCTAATATTCTTCAGGTAAGCCGAAAAATATTTTTCTCAACAAAACTGGAATTTAATTCATATTTACTGAACAGCAGCATTGATAATGAAAAGGGGAAAAAAAATCATTTCCATCTTTGTCATATCACCAGCATCATAACTGGAAAAGCTATCATTGCAGTGCTGACTGTTAGGACCGGTAATGGGTGAATCAAAGTATAAGTAATTACCCCCAAATATGTGTATGTAGATGTAGTGCATCTGCAGAGAATTATATAATGTAGATTCATGAATTATATGACTTGAAGAAAATAAGGCAATTCTGCATAATACGTGATCTCCAGGCACCACTATAAAAGAAGTAACTTACAGTTCCTTCTCACTACCCACAAGGATGGACCTAGCATCCTCATACCCTGCCTACTCCTGTAGCAATAGATCTTGCAGTCATATTCTCTCAGGGCAGATAAGCCCCATCATCTACAGCAGGGGTAGCAAACCTCCGGCTCTCCAGCCGTGGTGGAACTACAAATCCCCATGAGGCATTGCAAGATTCTCAGACTTGACTCCCAAAGAGAGATGCATCATGGGATTTGTAGTTTCACCACAGCTGGAGGGCCAGAGGTTTGCTACCCCTGATCTTCCAAACAACAAACTATTTTCCAGTTCTGCTACCACACATCGCAATATATTGTGAAAATTCACTGATAAAGCAACCGGGGGGGGGGTGCACTCCGTTTTATACATAACTTCTGTTCAGATTTTGCTGGGTAATAGGATTAAAGTCAGCAGACAGATATTAATGAAACAAATGGTAGGCAAGTTACCAAAAGAATGAGGGGCATAATTAGCTTTAGTCGGGCTAACCCAACATAGGGGATTCAGACTTTTTTGTGTTTGTGACCCCCATTTCCTGGAGGGCCAACTGCAACATTCTGTTGTACTTGAAAAGCCAAAAATACGCATGCAAGAAACAGTCTGGAGCTGAAAAATGGAACTGTAAAATCATTTCCCTTATATTTTCACCACTCAATAATCTGCCTTAAAGTGCACCTTACGATTATCGGGCGATTTTCGTATACTGCTGATCCAACCTTGCGATAATCGGGGCAGGATGGGGCCGTCATACGAAAATCGTACGACGGTTCGATCGTCGGATGAAAAGTGTCATCCGATGATCGCAAGGTGTATAGGCCGCATTGTGACATCCGTGTCCATCCAGTTTTTTCCCCTCCATCTTTCAGGTGTTACCCCCTGATCTGCCACGACCAGGTCCGCTGAAACGAAAATGTAATCCGTTTGTTTTTTCAGACCTGGCTGGAGTTGGGGGTAATTGGATATAAACGGAGGCCCATGCATTTAGATCCAGCGGCCTATAGACTAACATTTGGCTTCTGATCAGATCTGCTTTAAAAACTGACAGGCGGGCCTGATTGGAATGCGCCCGTGAAAGGGGCCTTAGAATTCTTGCTAAATTGAATGACTTCATAAGAGAACATTCATTTCTATTTGTCTCCTTCTTCAACACAGAAGGCAAAGAAATTAAATTAATGAAAATGTGCACAATCTGGGTTCATCAGGTACAGTGAAAATAAACTAGACATACCATTACAGAAAGAAATGTCCAATGAAATTGATATTAAACAATCTTTAAAAAGTTAATTTTTCCTATGAGACCTTCTCCTGAACATGCAAGTGGCCTGGCTGTTATGGTGACGATCTGGCTTTAATGCTGCCCGAGTCTCTTACCCAGGACAGGTTTGTAGAGCAGAAAAAGTCTGTCTGCATACTAAATTCAGGTCAGTGACAAAGTACTGAATCCAGAACATCAACAAGCCAGAACATCAACAAGCCAGCATGAGCAACAGCAGCTTCCATGTACATTAAAGAATGTTTTCCCTTGCCTGGAGCTAGAACATTAAAAACCAAATCCAGTCTATTATTTTTAAGTTTTGGAGTCCGTGAATAAAAGGTAAAATTTCCGCCTTTGTGATCAAACTTGGGAGTTTGGACCTTATTTCCTGTCTGTGTCCCATACACCAGGGAAAGGACAAGAAGTGAGGGGTTGGTTCGGCACTGGAACATGAAAGTGTTTGTCTGTCCCTTTTTCAGAGATTTACTAACAGTTCCCATCCAGAGAGAAAGAAGAAAATCTACCCATGACGGATAAAGACATCAATAAAACTGTCACAGGCTCTAAACCTGCCCAATGTAAAACATCATAACATATAGTTGAGTTGAATGTCACTGTAGGTCTGCAATGGCATATTTCCACCCTCACAAGAGCCCTCGGATTGTATGGTGTTGACTGAAGTTCTCCTGTAAAGAATCACTTGTGTATTCTGTGAGACCCCAATAATGGATATTTTGTATATAGCTACCTTGCAGCCTATTATGCCACAACGTTTTTAGACTAGATTTTTTTTTAACCAAAAAACCCCTAAACGTGTGAAATAAAACATATTTCGGAAATAAATTCTGCAGTTGCAAATCATCTTCAAAGAAAGTATCACCTTACACACATCCCTTTTCACTTCCTTTAAATCTAAACATTTGTGTATTTTATTAATTAAATAATTTTAAAAAACATTAAAAGCTTTTCAAGTCTGCTCAGTCACTGAACCCCCCCCCATCCACGCAGGGTCATCTATTGTTGAAACGAGAATGCAGAAAGTAAGACACAGGAAAGACAAAGTCAAAAGAACAACAGGCAGCTTAAAGGGCGAATCCACTCTGATATAAATATATTGGCCGGATACCTTCTTATACCTTTTACATAAAATATTATTTTTGGGTGGATTGGCCCTTAAAGATAATGATTCTAAAAAGCCAGATAATTTATTTTCTCTTTTCATCTGTTACCAGTCATTTCCATTTTAATCAGAATTAGCTGACAGCATGAGAGAAAGCAGTCAATTATATTGCACTTAAAAAAAAAAAATCACAAATATAAAGAAAAAAGTAAATAACCCATTTGTATCTGGAAGAGTCTAAAACACAAGAATGTTTTTAAAGGTGTTGTAAACCTTCCAGGAACTTCAAGATTAATTTTACATTTTACTATTTTACAAAAGACCGGAGAGAGACTATACAAGTTTCTACATACATACTACAAGATAAAAATTTTCCAGATGAATCAGTCTATTTTAACTTAATATATTAATTCTTGGAGGAGGGTATGTATGAAAAAGAGAGAAAAGTGGTCAGCCTCTTGATATGCACTACGCATATATAGATCTAACTTTGTTTCCAATTTTACAGCCAATCCAAATCTGTGTACGTAGAGCCATCAAGCCAATCACACTTGGTTTCAGAGATCTTGTTTATCGACTCTTCGTGCTGACAGCAGTGTCATTCGCTATAAAAGTCATATGGGAAGGCCACAAAATGGCAATGTTTGCTTGCTTCATAGTCCAACCCTTTAAGAATTTTCTAAAAAAAGAAAAAAAAAAAAAAAAATCACACCAAAAAGCTCCAGTCATCACAGACTTGAAACATCCCGTCAAGTGACCCAAAGATCGTTTCAGTTAAGACTGATTTGCTTTTCGCCATTGCAATTGTAATTTAATGAATCAAGTTGTCGATTATGGGTTTGGATTCAGGGCAACAGGTGAGATACACTGAAATGTTCTGGATGTCTCGAGGCCAAGTCTTTATTTTAGTGTTGGGTATACTCGCTGACCAAGCCTCCCCGGCCGTGCTGCACTGCCTCCTGCAGGATTCTGCTGTAAATAGAGGGAGAAAAGTTCCATGAGTTGGGCAGCAAATAAAAGCTAAACTCCAGGCAAACTTTCATTTAAATATAAACATCATTAACCACATAGGATGAAAACAAACTTTGTGTGCACAAAATGCCTTTACAAACCCAGATTTGACTTTGTAAAGATAGCAGCGATATTATCACTGTGCTGCACATAGCCTGTGGAAAGGACAGAGCTGTGGGAGGAAAAAAAAAAAAAAAAGTAAATCACTGACACACACTTGAAGGGTTTTTAAAGTATTGATATGTTTATTCAATACCCAATGTCACATACTGTCATACGGTGCCAAGGTCTCGGGTGCGCACAGGGATCCTTCATCAGAGCAACAGACACTCTGACACTGTTGCTCTGATGAAGGATCCCTGTGCGGACCCGAAACGTTAGCACCGTATGACAGTATGTGACATTGGGTATTGAATAAACATATCAATACTTTAAAAACCCTTCAAGTGTGTGCCAGTGATTTTCTTTTACTATTAGTGTTTTGCACGGCGCCATCCGTGTGGTCACCTGGGCACCACATATACCTTGTTTGACACCGTGGCAGTGCGAATGGGATTTGGACTTTGTTGAGAGCTGTGGGAGAGGCGCCGCAGGCAGTGCAAAAAATTACAGCAGGTGGCAGATACAGGACCAGCTACCCTGCACAAGGACAGAGAGCAGCAGTGACTGGTCCTGCACAGAGGCAAAGCTTTACACTGGTTATGTTGATGCATGATATTATTAACCAAATCTGGTTGAAAGTGCTTAAAAAACCGCCAGAAAATTGCTTATGATTTTTACTAGGTATGCACCGATATTATTACTAGTACTCGTACTCGCCCAAATGCTCTCGGAACTTCCGGTATCAGGAAGGCGAGCAGCGAATCATTACACAGAACCCAGGTTCCTGATTGGCCGGGAAGCCGGCTCCATGCTCCCTCATCACTTGGTGACAAAGGAGCATGGAGTTGGCTTCCCGGCCAATCAGGAAGACGGGTGGCGAGTCATTACCTTTCTTGATTGGCCAGGAAGCTGGCTCAATGCTTCCTTGTCACCAGGTGATGGAGCATGGAGCCGGCGTCCTGGGGAATCAGGAGGCGGCGGCGAGTCATTACACGCCGCCCGGCTTCCTTAATGGGATTTCCGGTATCAGCGAGTCCCGGAAAAAAATTGCCGGTAATCGATACTGAAAAACTGGTATCGTTGCATCCCTAGCTTTTTCTATTAAAATACTTTTTTCTGGACTCTCATTTGAGTTATGTGGCCAGTTTAGATACATTTTTTTTTTTGTAAAGTATACCTGTCATAAAAGAATATGGGCTGCCATATAATGGACCTGGAACAAGCATGTTGTAAAGGAATGTCAAATAAGTGTCAGAATGTTATCTCTATATTTGTTCCTGGTCATGACTCAAGAAGCACTCAAGCTGAAGCATCAATATGACAGTCAGACAACTAACATTTTCAAAAGGAGAGGTCGGTAATACCAGCCTACAGAATTATGAGAAGTGTAATATAAGAAGTTATATACAATCATTTTTACACACCCTTCATTTTAAAACAAGGTCCACATTTTTATTAGATTGAAATGTGAAGATAGACATGCATATTAAACAATGAAGTTGACTTACTTGTGCAAAATTTGAAGGGTTATAGAATTGAACCGTGCCAAGAGGCGGACCAGATTCTGGGGCGGCGCTGCCAGAGGCCTGTAAAGAAGTGGAAGAGTTAAATTCTGAATAACTTTCTCCAGCTGCTGAAGGGACTGGCAGACAGAGCCGCAGCTACTAAGAATACTACTGATCAGAAGTAATAGTACGAGATGGAGACCAAGCCATAAGCCTGTGTCTTCATGTTCGCTAAAAGCACCACATAGTAACAAAAGTCTCATTCTAATTTCCACAACTCTTTAAAGGGAAATGCCAGTTTAGTTAAAATATTGAACTTCTTCCTATACAAATAATTTTGTAATGGAGTGTTATTAACAATGACTTCTACATTTCAATCAGCAGGTAGCTATAATTCTTTAGCTGCCACAAAATTCAAATTTCTCTACCTCATGTGCTATCGCATCAGCGCACCTCTGAATGCAAGACTTGAAATTCTCTCTTTCGCGGCACTGAGTCTCTCCAAGAAGACAAGAAGTCTGCACAGAACTTCGCCAAAATACAGGCATACAGTCTGGCACTTGCAATATCGCACAGCCAACATGTCCTTAGGATTATTGCAATTGGAGCTTTTGGTGAAGTAGATAGACAAAAAGCTATAATTCCATGTTTTAATAACACTCGGAATAAGGAGGTGATAACGTTGAGCCTGTAACAAATTTGAAGGATTTCGGCAAATGCATTGAAAAGGTCTGTGTCAATATCTGCAAATATGGATCTGCAATAAAGTGTTCTAAATGTACTGCATGTGATATATGTTAGAAGGAGGTGGGGACATTTCACCTCGGACGCAGCATAATCTCATGTGGCTGTGATAACGCTCTACCAGGTTGCTAAATAAAGAAACTTTTGGAAACACTTTTCTTTAGTCAACCATGCTAATACCAACAAGGTATAAGTTTTGTTTTATAGTTGTAGGCAGGCAAATGTTTCCTTTAAGATAGTAAAACGTACCTGATACTTAAGCAAAATGCACAGCAGTGCAATCAATTATAGCTTTAGCTCTGTCGGCAAATCACTTCTGCATTTCCACAGAAGATAAGGCAAGGCGGTGATAGGAGATTCGAAACACCGTCTAGTATCACAGAAACTCTCCATGCACAAGGTGAGTGCAGCATTCAGGTTATAAGCATGCACGGCGCAGTGTTAATAAGTTAGCTGGCAATGTGGAAGTGAAGGTTGTGCAAAAATGTCATCAACATCAGGCTGACAGCTACCTGCTGCGGACCTTTCTCCTCAAGCATGGTCCATTTATTGGTGGCTTGTGAGAATTTACATATTTAAGATGCTGGCTTTAGATTAACCCCTTCATGACTGAGCTTGTTTTTAGTTTCTGTTCGTAAATGACTGACACACTTTTGACATTAGCTAAAGGAGCTCAATGGCATGTGGTTCTGACCCTAACAAAGCACCTCCTTCTAAACGGCAGGGCTGAACTGGCCACCGAAGCCAAATGTTTTTTAGGCAGCCAACTGTGTTAAATTGCTTCTCCCAGCAAAACCTCCTCATGAGAAGGGTGATATGACAGCAGGCAGAGCACCGTCATAACACAGATGAACATTGTTGAACCAACTCATGTATTCTTGTTTTCTGAATAGACCTTAAGCTCCCTCTGACTGGAACAGAGACAGCAGTAAAAGCAAGTTTTAGTACAGTGGGGTGAAGTTAGAATATCTGTCAGTTTTTTTTCCCTCTGTGCCTTCTTGTCCTGGTGACACATACATTCATATTTGCCTTGGTATCGCCAAGGCAGGCGGTGAGGGGAATTTTTGACAATGAGACAATAAAAAAAAAATCACAGAAGTTCTATCTGGAATGTAGCCATTTCATTTAGTTTGCTTTGATACTTTCCCTGAGTAGAAGGGCACAGAAGAGACTTTTTTTCAGGCTAACAATGGAACTAGCAAGCATCCTTTAACATCTGCTATTATGCTTTAAGTTTTTTTTTTAAAGTGAACATGGAGTAAAGATTTATTTTAAATAAGCCTGAAATAGTAAGATATAAATTAACTTATAACACAGAACAGTGTGGACACCAAGACTGGTTCCCTTAAACCTGAGAAGGGTTAGGAAGGGTTGCAAGTACAATGCAAGCATGGTTAGTGAAAAATATATAGAAAAAAGTGCATAAGTACTGCAATAGAACATAAAAATTGTGGCGGCCAGCTGCTGGTACCTGATTCAAATGCTGGCTTACTTCTCGAGATAAGGAACTCAGAGAACTAGATCGAGAAAGCTACAAAAATAAGCAAAAAAAAAAAAACACACAAACAAAAAATAAAAACAAGAAATGATCATGCAGTTTGTTGCATCACACTTCACATTCCCCATAGCTTTCAAATCAAACGCACTACTGAAAAATAAAATACACAAGCAAAAAAAAAAAAAAAGCAATTGCATTATTTTATATTGAGCACAAAGCCTCTGGTCATCTATAACTCCCTAAAATACATCTGTCACACTCTGGGGGCATCAAAAAGTGTGATTTATTAGATCACGGCCATTTGTCAATAGTACCGAGTGGCAGGGGAGGGGTTCAACATAGCCACTAGTTTAAAAAACCCCACAAGAACAACATACTGCGAAATCATATTTCAAGGCTTCTCTTCGCACATTGTAGAGGCATTCTACGCAATCAGAAGAAAGCTACACAAGCAGTGCAATGGCAGATACTGAATATAAATTTTGGTGAGGTTGAAGAAATCCCAGAATCCAGAAAGCCAATGGGCCTAAAAAATAAGGCTGTGGCCTAAATTTTCTGGGGATTCTGCTGGTGATTTGACAATGTTACCTGGCTATAAAAAAAAGTGCCCACTGTTTGCTACACATAGCTACACTATATGGACACCTGACCATCACACCTACAGTATGTGATCTTGTTGTACAGTCTATTCCAAAACCATTGGCATTATTGTGGAGTTGGACACCTCTTTGCTTCTTTACCAGCATCCACCTATCTGAGAAGGCTTTCCACGTGATTTTGGGTGTGCCTGGGGAATTTGCATCAAAAGAGCATTTGTGAGATCAGGTACGGATTTTGGGTGAAAAGGCCTGGCTTGCAATTGGCTTTTTTAATTCATCTTAAAGTCGAACTCCGGAAAAAATGATGCCACAAACTCCATAGGAGTGATAATAATTTCAACTTTTCAGATGTTATTCCCGACTGTATAACATAGAAAAGCAAGGAGAGAGACTATTATAAGGAAATAAAAATAAAAATCTAAGACCAGTTTTAAGAAATGTATGGGCACATGGGAGTTATCTGTGGATTCAAATACAGCTAAAAAGGTGACATTAAGGGAGGCTAAAACCTCATCCTATATTCTTCCCCTCTGAAAAGAAAATGGTCAGTGTACATGAAGGGGCACTGTTGTCAGTCCAATAGCAGAAAACAATGGTTTGCAACAAGCACTTAGCAGGCACAATGTAAAACAATATGGGATGCATCACACATTCCTTTAGTGATTGCTCATCATAGGTCTTTGTTAATGAGTCAGATTGTTAAAGACTCATTAGGTTACATGAAAATGATTATTTCAAGACCAAAGTAAGAAATCTGGAGCATACCTCTCCGGAAGGATAATCATCTGGGTTTGAAGGTGGTAGATCAGAACCAGAAGCTGCACTTAAATACTGAGAAAAAAAAAAAAGAACTAAATTTATTTACAAGAAATTGTCTCACAGAGGCCTTCTCATATGAGCATCTGATTGAAACACTTAAAGAGCACGACATTTAAATTATGATTCGGCTTATATTTAAAGAGGCATAGTATAAAAATCTACAATGTAGACTGAAGGACCATTCATTGTCCAACTTCATTCTAAAGCTCTTAAAGTGGGGAAAATAGGATATTGTTCTTACTGTATAATCCCTTTCCGAGAGCCTATTGAGGGACACAGCTATGAAGAAATCCGATACGTAGGGTTATGCTGCTGCCTCCAGGAGAAATGAAAAGACTGCCACTTTAAAGACATAACCCCTCCCACCTCACCTGCCAGCTGCAGTAAGCAGTATGAAAGAAAATGAGGGGAAGCAGCTGTGTCCATCAATAGACTCCAAGAAAAGGAACAAAATTCCATTTTGACCCATTGCATCGGCTAGAAGGGTTTCAGAGTTGTTTGGTAGAGAATCCCATTTGGTTTTTAAGGACAAAGTTGGTTTTAAGATCAAAGGTTTGCTTTTTACACAAGGTAGTCTCAACTTTTAAATGAAGACATTGTTTTACCTTCACTCTGTCCACCTCCTGTTCATCCTAAGGACATTTTTTTTTAATTGTTTAGATGTAGTGTGAGCGATTAGAGTTTATCTGTAGGCCACAGCTTCCTTTAGACGTTTGGGCTCTCTAGTTCTTCCAGAAGGTCCTAGAAAAGGTTACTCAGCTTCAAGATCCAGTATGTCCACATAGATTTGTCAGGTTGTCATTCAAGCTTATGAGTTGCAGAATAAGGTTTCTCCTTTTCCTGTTTCTGCTCATTTTACTGGGGCAGTTAGTACTTCTTGGAAATTTTCAAAATCAAGCTTCTGTTACTCAAAATTGCAAGGCCGCAACTTGGTCTTCTGTTCACACTTTAGTAAAGTTGACGCTTCTAACTCTTCGGATGCTAGTTTTGGCAGAAAAGTTCATCAGGCAGCTGTTTAAAATGTATTTTTACAGTTCCTTTTTTGTTGTTTAACGGGTTCTTTTAATAGTTATAGTGCTGGCCCCTCTGTTTGGACTGCTTTTGAACATCCCTACATATCAGATTACTTCAGAACTGTGTCCCTCAATAGACTATAGAGAAAAGGAGGTTTCTCTAGAACAGATAAAACCAGGTTTAAGTCACACATAGGAAGAGGAGACCCAACAAGAGGAACAATACATGCAACTCCCCGAATAAAAGTATGAATCAAGGAATTAGAAGCCAGGAGGATGTTGAAAAATGGACAGACAAGGTAGATATCTGACCCTTAAAAGGTACTGAGAGCTAAAAAAAAATCCATGGGGAAATACCCAAGGACTCAAACCAATGAAAATAAGCCTTCCACATACGGTGATAAATTTTATGAGTAGAAGATCAATGAGCCTTCAGCATAGTCTGGATAATAGAATCCGAAAGTCCTCTGTTTAACATCTGGGGTTCAACAGCCAAGCCATTAAAGCCAGTGACTGGGAAGCAGGGTGGAAGAAAAATCGTCCCTGAGCTAAGAGATCTGGCTGACCTGGAAGAGATCATCTGCTAACATATGAACCAGATGAGCATACCACATCCTGCAAGGCCAATCTGGTGACTAATTCCTTGCTATTCGATCCAGCGAGGAAAGGCATAGATTAGAGTGTACCGATACTAAGGAGCTACTAAGTCATCCACTGCATCCGCCATTGGATCCCTTGCTCTGGACTCAAATCTGTCCACCTTTTTCTTGTTGTGAGGAGAAGCTAGAAGATTCACATCCAGCATTACCCAGCACTGACAATTCTTTGAAACACCTCTGAATAAAGAGTCCACTTTCCCAGCTCCAAACGTTGTCTGCTGAAAAAGTCCGCCTGCCAGTTTTCTACTCCAGGAATGTGGACCGCTGAAAAATCGCTGGAACATAAAGTTCTGCCCAAACCCAGATTAAATGAACCTCCATCGCCACTGATACACTCCTGGTGCCTCCCTAGTGATTGATGTAGGGCACTGCCTTGGCATTGTTCAACTGATTCTCAACCGTACAACCGGTCAGAAGATGGCTCCAGTGAAGCAAACGAATAGCCCTCAACTTCAGAAAATCTACTGGAGACCAACAACCCTGGACAGACAGATGGATCCAATACAATGCCCCATCCCAAAAGACTGGAGTCTGTAGTGACAATCCTCCAAATAATTTGAAATAATGACTTCCCTTTTGTCAATGAAGAGGATGTCAACCATCACGACAGAGACATCCTGGCCGGGGCACTCAGACCCAAAACTCTCATGCAGGCTCTCACAGGAGGATAAGCAAAAGGACCAAAATTACTGAACTTGATCACGCAAATTTAATAATTTGTTCTGAGGAAGTAACACGGTTGCTTACTACAAGCGATATGACAGAATCAGGGCCGATTTCTCGATGTCCTGAATCCACCCAAAGTTCTCCAAGGTCTGCAGCACCGTTGAAACATTGAGCTCCAGAGTCAGAAGAGACTGTTCTCAAAGTAAAAGGTCATCCAAGTATCTAATAATCAGAATGCCCTTGCGATGATAGAGCCCCACAATTGGAGCAAGAACTTTTGTAAAAACCCTTGGAGCCAAAGCTAGACCGAAGCGAAGAGCAACAAATTGATCCTGAAGGACGCCTACAGCAAAGTGAAGGAAACACTGATCTTGAAAAACAGGAATGTGTAGCTACAGGTGAAACTCGAATAATTAGAATATCGTGCAAAAGTAATTGCAGTAAGTGCTGCAAAAGGGGCCCAAACCAAGGACTGAGTACATATGCATGCTTGTACTTTTCAGAGGTCCGATATTGTTCTATGTACAATCCTTGTTTTATTGATTGCATGTAATCATCTACTTTTTTTGAGGTTGTGGATTTGGGGTTCTTGGGGTTTTCATGAGCTGTAAGCCATAATCATCACAATTATGACAAATCACGGCTTGAATGATCTTGCTTTGCATGTAATGAGTCTCTCTCATATATTAGTTTCACCTTTTAAGTTGCATTAGTGAAATAAATGAACTTTGCACGATATTCTAATTATTCGAGTTTCACCTGTATACATCCTTTATATCCATGGCAACCAAAAAAATCTCCTTGATGAGAAGAGGGGACAACTAATGGAATGGACTTCATCCGGAATATGTGAATATGTACAAACACATTGAGTTCTTTTAAATCCAGAATACAGATTAATGCCTCTGGTGGGTTTGGGAACCATAAATAGGTTTGAATAAAAACTTCAAAAACCTTCTGTCAAAGAAACGGGAATAACGACACCCTGATTTAACAGAGCCTGAACTGTGCAAAAAAAGGTCCGTCTGACACTGAGACATGGGAAGCCTAGAACCAAAGAACTGAGAAGGAAACTAGTCTGTGAATGGAGGAAACAACCTCTTGGACCCAAGCATCAGAATATGAGCTTCCCACATTACCGCAAAATCCATCAGACTCCCCCCCACCTGAGATGGGAAAGGTGGGGGCAGACATCCATGCCGAAGTGGACTTATCTGAAGGTTTGGAGGTTTTGGATAGCCAAGGCAGTCTAGAGGGTCCGAAAGACTTGCAAATGTCAGATGTCTTTTGAGATTGGGAACAGAAACCTTGCCTGAACAGCCTCGTCCTCAAAAGAAGAAACTCACCATCAGACATAGAATATTCCAGAGAAGCAACAGCAGTTGCAGAAATATCATGCATATCGTCCTCAGAATCCATAGGTGAAGCAGAAATGCAAATTTTTTTTAACCTTTATGTACAGGTACCACAAGTCTCTCTAAACGAGATATAACGTTTTCCATAGTAGAAGAAAATTCAGCTTTTGTAATCAAAAGCGAACAATTGTCAGCAAGACAGGAGATGCAGTATTAGGAACGGACATTGTATTAGATGTTTTCTCCATAGCATTACAGACTACACAATAAAAGGGAATCTTTGTACACTTAGTAAAACAAAAATGCAGATTCCTCAGCAGTCATGGTGCCCTCACACCTCCGCATACAAGCAGACATAGCTATATCCCCGAAATATAGAAATCAGCACAGAGTTCCCATACACTACTCATTGCTTTAGGTGTGAGGTGAAAAAAAGGCAGAACAGACACCGTTCAATTGCTGCATATAGCGGGATATGGGCAGTAGCTCTTGTGCTAGAACTTTGGTCTTTTTCTCCAAAGAAAAAAGGAAATACAGAGTGTAACAGTTGCCATTTACCATCGGTTTCAAACCGCAGCCATCCAGTGCCTCAAATGGTAATGCCGCCACAGAAAATGTCAAAACGTGCAGAGGAATTTTAAAGATGTCATCAATGCCAAGTCCCAGTCACTTAAAGAGGCAACAGGATTTTTTAAATGAAAAAAAAGGCACACAAACTCCAAAATAGGCATTACAAAAACAGGAGAGTGTAAAAAATACACAGCCACAATTCATAATTTAATACATAAATTAACATAGAACTCCGTGGTCCTGTTCCCTTTGTCAATGCACGAAACCCTAGATAATACTAGCCTGATAGTAACGTTCACAGGAAATCCAGACCATCGCAGGATGAAGCTTAAGTACTGAGATCAGAAATGTCCTGCTGTCCAAGATGTAGGGAAACTTCCAGGATTTACCTTACCCTGTATGAAACTAACAGGGTTATTCACAAAAGGGTGAAGAGTTTGGAGAAGGCAGCAAGGTGAACAATGTCAAAATAGCCGATTTAGAAAAATTCAATTGAGCTCACTTTCCAGTTCAGCTATGTTCTCCTAGACAGTGGTGGCGAACCTATGGCACGCGTGCCAGGGAGGGCACGCGAGGCCCTTTCATTGAACCTGCAAACCCCCACACAGATCCTGCAAAGCCCACCACAGATCCTGCACAGCGCCCCTTAGATCTGGCAGACTGCAGGGTCTCATGGGGGCTTTGCAGGATCTATGTGGGCTATGCAGCCCCATGGTGGGCAGAACCCATTACAAATCCTGCACAGCCCCCGAGACCCTGCAGACTGCAGGGCCTCCAGGGGGCTGTGCAGGATCTGTGGTGGGCTCTAGCGGAACATGTAAAAAGCTGGATACAGTGTTTGCACTGTATCTAGCGACTGACAGGTCACGCAAAAAGTATTAAACAGGAAGGGGTGGGGTAAATTTAGTGGGTGTGGGGGCGCCCCAGTTTTGCCTTGCCTAGGGCAGCCCCAATACACCACTGCGTTCAGGGACCACCAATTGAAATAGATCCGACTGACCCGGATCGCCTTGGTATGCGATCCGGGCCAGTCACAATTAGGCAGCGGCAGCCAATAAACAGGTAGGTTAGACGGCTGCTTCCTCCTCGCTAGGACCCCGGGAGGCCCCTGCAAGCGGCCGTCTAATCTGCCTGTTTAGAGGTCACCGCCACTGCCTGATTGTGACCGGCCCGACTACAGAGGCGATCCGGGACGTTCGGGTCCCCCGTGAGAGCCGTACAAGGCCGTAAGGCAGTGATGTTGAACGTTTCTTAAACCCGAGCGCCCAAACTGCAATACTAAACTTAGTTTCAGCGCTGGCACTTTGAGATAAATAAATTGATTTTGCGTCGCAGTTTGGGCACTCGGGTTCAAAAAGGTTCGCCATCACTGTCCTAGATGGTTCACTTCTCCAAACTCTTCACCCTTTCTGAATGACCGTGCGAGTCTAGATAGCTAACTAGCGAAACTCCCAGGATTTAATTTTATCCGGTATCACTAGCAGCTCTTAATGGTAGAAGTTCATCAAACAAAATAAAACTAAAATAATAAAAGCAGAAGAGAAGGAGACATCCATTTTCCTGATGATACCAAGTGAAATTGGCAGGTGGGAGGGGTAATGTCCTTAAAGTGGCAGGTTTTTCATTTTTTTTTGACTGCCTAGTGTATTTCTCCTAGAGGCAGCAGCATAACCCTACGTCTCAGAATTCTTCAGAGGGGTGTCCCTCAATGGACGACAGAGAAATGGAGGTTTAGAATCTACGTTATTTCCTGCCCCAGTGACGCGGCCATCATAATGGGAAGATTTCCATAACAGGTACACAGGCATCAGAGAGAGTTTCCAACCCTTCTCTGCTTCATTAAAAAGTAAAGAACAACATTTTGGCTGGAGTTTTACGTATACAAGGAGTATACAAGAGTTTAACAGAGGCAAGCACAAACTCACCTGTGTCTGGGTGGGATTATCAAGGCCTTTCTGGTCTGGATATTGTACCATTTCTGCATCTGAGCCAAGGCTGGGCTGACCCTCTTCTGGAACTGTTAAAGAAACAAATGTCAAAACAGAAGAATCGCAGCACTTCGATTGAGATACAGGAATGATAGTTTCAATATAAAAGTGCAGCTGACTTTCCAACAACTTTTTTTCTTTAAGACATACAAGGGAAACCGAGGTTTTTTTTCTTTTTTTTTTTACATATTTCCAGCGTAAAAATGTGATCAAAATATGGAAGAGCAGGAATTCAGATAAGTGTTTTATTAGGTCAGGATACACATTATAAGATTTTCACTGAAAATATACTATTTTCTCCTTTTACAAAACAGAAGGAGCCTAAATTCAGGATTACGAGGACACCACTACTCACCTGAGTTAGGAACAAAGAGGTTTGAAGGGATGGACATTGGTGCAAGTGGAGCAAAAAGATCAGCCGGTGGAGGCACAGAACTTGCTGGCTTGCTGCCACCTGGATTTAACACATCCACGTAGCGACCTCTGACACTTGCTGGATAGGAAAAAAAATGTAAAAAATATCATGAAACAATATGTTATACCAAAGAATCACCTTTCGCTATCGTGAAAAGAAAAAAGCATGTGGGCACTATAAGCTAAGTGGGGGCTATACACTGAAAAGAGGCTAATTTCTCAGTGTCCTACGTTGAGGCATTTACATCAATACCCCCAGAGCCCCACTGTGATGCTTTTAGGAAAAGTATCCTTACAGTGACACTGAACTCAGGAGTCAACCTTAAAAATGCATTCAAGTACCTTAACTATTAACACAAATGTAGTGTATGAGTGTATCACTCGGCTGCAGATCTGCAAATCATCTCTGAATTCATGCTGACACTGCCCTTCCTTCTCGAGGGTGGCTACTTTTGTTCCCCATGGTCGCTCTGTGTGTTGTAAAGTAGTCACCGCTCCAAGCTCACTCCTGTGATGGACTACAATCTCACGTTTAGTTAGCCAATTTGTATTGAGATTGTAGTCTCTCATGGGAGTGATCTTGGAGCACCCTCCAGAAGGAAGGACAGTGTCCGCACCAATTCAGAGATGATTTGAGGATCTACAACCCAGGGATATACAAATAAGCTACTTTTTTGTTAATAGTTAAGATACTTGAATGCATTTTTAAGATTTAACTGCTAAGTTTAGCATCACTTTATTATGCACAGAAAGAAGATTGTAATTTTACTAATGTAGGTTTAAAGATGAATGCAAACATTTGGCTGATTCTATAGTCCAAACACTATATTAGAGGTACACTATAAAAAGGATGCCTGTCGAGACACAGAGGATAGCATTACCTGCTCTGATAGAGAACATATTGACTGAAGGATTTGGGGGAGCACCGGGTCCGCCTGGTCCAGCGGAGCTGGCCGGAGGTCTTTTCAGCATACCTGACGGAGGTGGAGGCAGGGGCTTGCTCTAGGAATATAACATATCACCATTATGGATACATGCAGTGCTATCATTTTTCATGGCAATGCAATAAAGTGCTACAAAACAATGGTAAGCTCATGTTTAACCTATGCATTGTAAACACATTTGCAATAAGAAAATGCAGGTCAACTAATTAAAAATGCTGCAGTGAGCTTTGTGATATCCATCAGCACAACACAAGTGCTATGAATGACCATTATTGTTTCTTTTTTGGATGTTTTTTGGTGTTGCATTTTCATGCTCTAACTGGATGCAGGACAGCGTAAAGACCTTTTTTAGCATATTTTTTTTTAGTAGTGGATAGGATAGAGAAGAGTTAACATTTTGTGTAAGGAAATTTCTTTTTCTGCCTGTAAACCCACTGGGGGGAATTTTCCCTATCCCTGTAACACAAGAAATAGAGGAAGTGGTTTTCATTGAGAAGGCATACCATTCAGTGATTACCAGGCGAGTAATATTTTACGTCAGCTTGTATGTTCATCGATTAATAAACTGTATTACACGAGGACAAGGCGCTGTCTGTTTGTTTGTTTAACCAATACTTAGTTTTAACCCTAAGGCTGGGTTCACACCTTGGCGTACGGTTTCCGAGGGCTACCTGGCTATATACCAATTGATATGCGCGACAAATACGCCCCAAAGAAGCTCCTGTACTTCTTTGGGCGTAGGGCGTTTTACAGCGCGTTCCTGCGCGCTGTAAAACGCCCAGGTGGGAACCATGCCCATAGGTAATAATTGGTTTTCACATGTTGAGCGTTTTACAGCGCGTAGGAACGGGCTGTAAAACGCCCTGGTGTGAACCAGGCTTACACAATCCTTGAGCAAATATATATAATGATATAGCAATAGATACACAAAAGCCCGTTTTAACACTCTGCTGTTGTTTCACAAGCGCCAGAGGACGACCTGGACTTGGAACCTCCAAAACATAAACAGAAAACTACCAACCACTCACCTCTGCCTCTGGCTCATCCAGGTTCACCCAGCGCTGTTTGTTCTCATCCCAAACAATCTGTAATATAGATGAAAGATGAGGAGTTTACTTGCAAAGTGCCAGTAATGCACATGACCAGGTGAAACGGTGAGAAAATCGTTAGCCAAAGCAAAGGCCATTTTAAGACCAAGCTATTGCCAAGGTAAAATACCTATTTGTTATGCCTCCAGAGTATTTAACATATTTCATACAGCAGAGAAAGCAAGAACTGAGCCAAGCAAGAACTTGAGCCAAGCAGGGGATTCCATATGTCAGTTTTCACCTATAACTGCAGCATCAACTTTTGTGAAATTGTCCTTAAAGCAACACTACAATCAGAAGTAATGTATACTGGTAAGATTAATATATTATTTTATAAGATGAATACATGCCATGGCAGTATTCAGTACATTAAGTTTGTCTCAAGCCTTCATTTATAATGGTCTAAAAATATAAACGCAGACTAAGCTGTGCAGTACAAATGACAGTTACAGTGCTTGTGGGCAAATCATTTAACACCGAGACGGGTGCTTACAATAGTAAAATTTGACTCATCTGGCTAAAACTGTTTGAAACTAAAAAAGAAGTGGTAGCTGGGATTTAATCTTTGTCACTCGCACTTACTTACAAATCCAACTAAAACACCCAATCTGCTGGGTAACAATGCTGCAATGATTTCACTGTGAAATGAGCAATGTTGTCACCCTATTAAAGTAAAAAAAATCAATAGTTCTACCACCAGATGAAACAGGTAAACCTTTTTTTTACAGGGGGATTTAAAAAAACAAAAAAACAAAAAAAAAAACAAACACTGCTGGTAAAATTATATTGCTTATACTGTATCAATATATGCCATTTTTGGTCATCTTGCATATAGTTCTAGTTTAACCCCTTCATGACTGAGGCCTTTTTTTTATTTTTTGCACCCATGTTATATTCCACATTTTAGGCCTGAAAATTACTTAAAACCCCCACACATTGTACTTATACCATTTGTATGTAGTCCTTGAGGACTGCACTGTTTGACTGTACCATTATAATATGGAAACCTGAGTTTGTAAACTTTATTTGATATTACATTGTATTGCACACTGAATGGGAAAGTGAGATCCCTGTTATATGCATTTAAAACAAATAAAAACCTTTTGAAAAAAAAAAAACCCCACACATTATATATTTTCTGAATGCCAAGACCCTATAACAATATAATGGTGGTAGTTGCAAATTTTTATGTTGCGCAATATTAGCGCAACTTCTTTTTAAACCCCAAAATTTAGTGATAAATTTAATTAAATGCTCCAAAACACAACAAAATACCCATTTTTTAAATGATATATAAAAGATGAGATTACAACGAGTAAAACGATACCCAACATGCCCAGTTTACAAATTGCGTGCGTTCGTGAAACGGCGAAAAACTGCAGTACCCCAAAAAGTCCACAGAAGACGCTTTTAAAGCCCCCACAGGTCATCAATTTAGAGATACCCCAAAATACTGGCCCTAAAATTATTGCTCTCACTCCGGTGTGCGCGGCGATACCCAACATGTGTAGCGCGTTCGTCGTTTTCATACGTAGGCGCACCCAACGCGTGTTTACGTGGCGATGCGCGTGCTCGCGGGGGCGGGGGACTTTTAAATTTTTTTTATTATTATTAGATTTATTTCTTTTGATTTTAACAGTTTTTTTTGTTTTACTTTGACTGCTATCACATGGGGGGGCTTACAAGCCCCCCCATGTGATAGCAGATGGTGGTGACAGGTACTCTTTAAAGGTTAAGCTGGGGGTCCAAAAGACCCCCAGTGTCACCTTTACACTGGAAATAAGCTATTGAAGTGCAGATCGCACATCAATAGCTTATAGCTGGGCAGGAGCCCAGAACGGACAGCCCAGGGACCGGAAGTGATGCAATCTGCATCGCTCCCGGTCCCATAGAACGGGGAGGGGATCGATGAACGGAGGTTCGTCGACCTCCTCCCCAGCTCCCTGGGGACACCAAGGTCGCCCGTCCTGGGCCCGTAGGAGGGGCAACGGAGCCCGGGAAGCACGGCGGCGGTGTCCAGGGGGGGGGGCCCTTCTTCGGGATACAGAAGCGATCTGGCGACAGGTAAGTCGCCAGAATCGCTTCTGTTGTAAATCCAACAGTCGGCTCTACAAGTTTAAACAGACTCCCGGCGGCAAAAGTCGCCGGAGTCTGTTTAAACAGCCCCAATGCTGGCGACGTACACTGTACGTCGTCAGTCACGAAGGGGTTAAAGAGGACCAGTTATAATCTAAACCCTTATTTTTGAGTTATTGCACAGCCTTACCCCTGAGGGATTACTGTAAGGCACCCATAGGGGCCACCCTATCTCTTGCCTTAGCGGTCATATATAATAAAGCTGCTGTCTTAATTACAGAAAAGTAAAAAAAGTTTTGGCAATTGATAATTTTACCCTGCAGCAGCCCAAAGAGAAAGCGAATTATCAACCCTGAGCTCAGGTAGTAGATGGGTCAAACTTGATGGGAGATTACAGCTTGACAATTGAGTTGACACATCTGTCTAGAGGTAAAACTGCATTATTACAACGACTTAAAAGGAGAACTATGAGGTGAGTGCTTTTCACTCACCTCATAGTTCTAGCCGACCTGTGACAATGAGACGGTCACAGGTCGGCTCAGTACATCGGGAGGTGAGCAAACACATACCGGCGTTCGCTCACCTCTCGATCCTGTCACGGCTCTCTGTGCGACAGGGGAGGGGCTGGATTCCCCCCCTCCCTGCTCGGATCCGCTAGCGCTGACTGGCGGAACGGACGGGGGAGGGGGCGGGTACAGCTGGCTCTGCCTCTAGATAGGCAGAGCCAGGTGTCAGTCACACAGCTGGGCGGATCCTGGCATAATTGTCGGGATCTGCTTCAGCTGCGGCGAGCCTAGGGTGACGGGAGGACGCTAGTTTGTGTCGTCCCGTTACCCTAAGGAGAACTATGGGGAAAAGCCTTAACCCCATAGCTCTCCTTCAAGTCTATAGATTTAGATTCTTACAAAACACAAATTCCTGACTCTTTCTCTCACAACAGATGAAAGAAGAAATTTATTTTCTTCAGTTATTAAAGGGAAATGGCAACTTGGATAAAACTACAAATTGACAACCTGTTGAGACACTAAAATGCAGAATACACAAAATGCCACGGAGGGTAGTTGCCAGATGAATTATCCAGTTCCAGCAAACATCACATGTAAGCCGACTCTCTTAAACCAAAAAGGGACACTAGACCGAGTTATGAGAGAGGGAAAACTAGACACCCCAACAAGAATAGAATATGTCCTGAAATGGAGAAGGTATTTTTTAAGTTCACAACAAGCAATTTGCAACTCAGATGTCCGCAGCGACTGCCAAAAAATACCGGACAATGGACTGCACCCCAATTATGTCTCTGCTAATTAATGTTACAGGATTCCCTTACAGTTTGAAATGTAGTGGTAGTAAGACAAGAAATGAAGGGGCTGGTTTACAGACAAAGCACAGAAGGTCAAAGCTGCTATAAAGTGCCTATAGCTGCATACAAGCTACTAATAGTCAAAATCCTTACAGACTTATTCCTGTCATCAGGTAAGTGGGCTTCGTTCTTGCCTTTTCCCATCAGCCAGCCAATTTTCAGGGGAAACCAACTTTTACCACCCTACAAAATGGTTTGAAGAGAAACAAGTGTGAGAACTACAAGCTGAGAATGTGGTGACTAAACCTTCATATAACTAAAATGCTGTTTATAAGTTTTAGCAGCATTAAGTTTCCCCTCAGCATTCCCCTTGCGGCCAGTGATAGTGCCCTTCTGCAACAAGTGGCGGCCACTTTGTGATGAGCCAGTTTTTTGTTAGAATAAAGCCAATCCCCTCAATGGGGCCTCATTTCTGAGACAGCACTATCCCATAACAAGGGTCTGAGGTCATAGATTTCAAATCTACTGATACAATGTAGGTGAATGTTAAATTAAGGCACCAAAATAGCTGCTGTAGAATGATCTGCATATTACAATGTGAAAGTTCTCCCTTAGATCAGCCTTCGTAATTTTTATGGGACAACGAGAAAAGAAGCGCTACAACCCTGGAATAGGTCCCATATTGTCTACAGGGTCCCTCTCCCTGATTTAGGAGCTCGCTTACCCACACCTTTTTTAAAGTTTTTCCATACTTTTCACACCTGTTGTGCGCTCGCCACTCCCATTGTTTTTTATCTTCGTAATTTTTAGCATATTTAAAAAGAAGCACAATTTCTAATACATTGTCATGAAGTGTTCTAACCTTTACCATAAAAAATCCCAAACTTCCTCCTTTCTGAGGTTTGATTAATAAAAGGATACACAAATAGCACTGTGCTCATCACCTAATTGGTAAAATATTTATAGGAATTGCTTTACCCAGATTCCATTTAAATACCTACCAAGAGCCCAGCACAGACTCCTAAAAAGGCACTTACCCCAAGTGATGAAGAATTTCCTTTCGTTGCTTTTCTGGGCTCTGACCGCTCCGTTTCAGAGATGACTGGAGGGGGCAAAGGCTGAATCCCTATAGAACTCCTTCTAGTTGAACCAATAGAGTGGGTGGAGGACTCAGAGGTGGTCCGAGTCCGTCTCTAATCATGAAAATGGGAACATATTAAGCTTTAGAACAGCATTATTAAATTATATAGGCAAGGATAATCTGCCCTGCAGATAACAGCACATGCATTTCATCAAACCAATGTATTTCTCAGACATCAGAATTCTAGAAATTCCTGTACTTGTTCTGTACACAGAACAAATGTGCTACAAATAAGAAGTTATGATAGGCACTACCCTTGTTTAAGGAGGTTAAGGTGTAAAATTCTGCTGCCACGCAAATCCCATTCTCTATAGGTGCCAGCTTGTGTTTTGGAAAATATTAAACTGCAATGGGGAGTACCCACAACAAAAGCAGGAGAATGGTGGAAACCTGTGATCAAGGTAAGTTCATGGGACCAGAAGCTATTAAGTGAAAACTTTATCCTGGCCAGTAGCATACTGCCCTCCAAGAAAAACTGTTCCCTGGAACAATGAACCAAGCTTACCATGTGGGATGATGACTGGGACACAGTCCTAGATCTCTGTCCTGGGGCCTGAAACCAGGAGAATATTCATGTTATCAAATACACAAAACAATATATATTTCATGTTTATGGGTCAAAGATACTACACTTCATTTACAATGTACAAATAAAACTGATGAAGCTTCCACCTAACGTACCACAACAAGGAAGCACCAGGTGTAGCAAAATGTGTATGGCTGCCCGCTTATATGATTAGATATAGAGTCATACTTACACACCAGTAATAGAACCAGTTTTGTATTGAGAAAACACACACACACACGTATAGTGAGTTAAACAAAAAATCACCATATTGGCCATCTCTTTATAGAAGTCCAACCCAGTGTTGGTGGGGGAGCTCTGCGGTTGTCTCTGCTCCACTGAAAAATTGAACAAATGACACTATGAAATACAAACATACTGAAACTCTATATAAGAGATTATAACAGTTGGGTACAGGTACATTGATGCAAAAATATGTTTCATGCAACTGTTTTGTCAAATAACCCACATACTGGGAGGGTAATGTTTTCTGAAGAAACTGACTGCAGAAGGGTGAATAAGCTTATATTATAGTAGCAAGGACAGTGGCTGTACACAGGAAAGAACTGTGCCATGTCAATGCTATAAGAAAAGGTAGGGGTAAAATCTGGGGGAGGCAGTTTCCCCACCAGAGTCAAATTATTTGGTTGGTAGCCAAGTATCCAAACAACTCAGAATATGGAGATTGCAGAATGAGGAAAGCACTATAGTAAGATTTGCATAACTAGAACAAAGTGAAATAACAGACTGGAACTTACTTGGCTCCTGGTTCCACTGCTCTTGTGGTGTAAATTCGGTGGGTTGTGGAGGGGTGGGTGCAGGCTCCATTGTAGCTGGGGTGTAAGTGGGTACAGGGTCACTGCTGTAAACCCCAAATCCTGGGCCAGACACTGGTGGGGAGAATCCAGGTGAGGGAACAAAAGTCTGATGTGCGGCAGAGTAAAACGACTCACTTACTGGAGGGGGCTGATAAACAGCATTGTGTTCAGGACCTAGAAAGAAAAAAACAAAAAAACAAAAAGGCTCCTGTTTAAATAGGCTTTCAAATGCTAATATACAGTAAAGGATAAAAGGATAATGGAAAACATTTACTTGTTTAAAATTAAAAAGGAGGGGGAGAAAGATAAGGAAAGATTGTGCAAGAATGAATTCCATACTCTTTTGCCATTATGGAATCAAAGTTTTATAAACATGGCCACCTGATGCGAATACTACTTTAGGATTCATTCACAATAGGCAAAACCTTACAGTACACGGTCACGTAATGTCCTCCGACACATATAAGGAAGCTGCTAATTATATCTTAAATCTACCATGACACAGCAAACAAACTATGCTTAAAGAAGTTAGTCTACTTGCATCCTCTACCTGAAACACAGATGCATAGAGAACATCAGCTAGTAGCCAACTATAAGCACAAGTATGTCCGAGCAACCAGCAACAATAGCCAGCACACAATTTCAGTTGTAGCTGCTGAGTCAAAGTGATTGTAAACTCTATTGTCTATGACAAAATGGCCACCTAGGTGCTCACTGCCCACGAGTAAACACTCACTCTTGTAGGATGATTCTTCAGATCTCACTACCATTATATGCTCCACTCTCAGTTTTTCATTTTTCTAAGTGATAGTCTAACACCACAAGCAAACAATCAGATCTAACTACAACCTTCAATTCTGTCTCTGCATTCCAACCATCTCCCCGAGTTCACATTCATCTTCTTTGCTCTAGATGTCATTTTCATCAATATATTTGTTGCCTATTACAGGTTTTTCCCACTATTTTATCTGGTCACATCTGAGCTATAAGCTGTCCAGACACTCGATTCTTTGTAGGAGCAAATGGAAGATATCTGTGCAAAAAAATTCTAACTTTACACCCAGAATTTTTTTTTTTTTTTAAATCTAAAAAATGCAAACTTATTCCAGGTCAGTGACTACTCCAAACCAAAATCAGTAGAGCCAATCAAGTCAGCAATGGCAGCTTCCATATTTCCATCCTTCACTTTATTGGCAAGTGAAGTGCTTTAAAAATGGACAAAATTAAAACAGCAGGCCGGCTTAGCCCTGAAGCCAGAAGGTTAGGCCACTGTGAGCTTTCTGGAAAATAATAATAATCTACTCTTAGGAAGGAAAATGGTAGACAGGTTTACATTCAAACTGACTTCTCTTTGTTTTCATTAACATATTTCCTGTGAAGGTTGAAAGTGATGGCTTCTGGGCCAGTACAAGTTGTATCCGTTTAAATTTGAAAGAGTCAGACATCATAATAGATCAGGTAATACAAGTTACAATGCAGAAAAATAACTGAATCTCCTTACCTGGGAGAGCCAACTGTACACCCTGGGCAGGAGGAATCATGTTGGGATGAAGGCTGGCCAGTAAGGGATTATCAGAATTAGGGGGCAGATCATGAGCTGCTGTCATGCCATCCAACTGGCTGATTTGATCCTGTTCCGAGCTTGGAGTGCTGCAGGCATACTGCTGGGGGGTGGTTCTACCAGTGTTGTATACCACAAAGCCTTGCTAGAAACACAGAGCAAGAGGGTTAGCTGTGCTGTGAGCGCTGTGTCTGGGTTCTACAAAGTTATGTTAAACTCAAGCAGTCTGTTTGCCGTGTCTGTCTACGTAATTATGTACTGCATAGGTGTATAACCGTATTAAGTACAGTGGATATAAAAAGTCTGCAAACTTCTGTAAAAAAAAGGAAGGTTTTTGAGATGTTTAAAAAAAAAAAAGAAAAGCCAAGCTAAATCACTTCAGAATTGTTTCCACATTTAATTTGACCCATAATCTGTAAAATTCACTTAACCCCTTCATGACTGAGGCCCTTTTTTCAATTTTTGCACCCATGTAAACTGAAATTGTTTAGTGGGGAAATAAGAAAATAATGTGGCTGTATAAGTGTACACACTGTGTTATAATCACGGATGTGGCGGTGTTCAGAAATAACCAACCACATTCAAACTGATGCTAAATAGTAGTCAGTAGTACACACCCTTCATCAATTAAAGTGACTCAGATTATGCCCGTATAAAGTTCAGCTGTTCTAGTAGGAGTTTTCTGACATTTACTCAGTTGCCTCTTAAGGTGCCCATACACTGCACGATTCTCGTACGAGAATCGCGGGAAATCCTGCGATCGTACGAGAATCGTGCAGTGTGAATGAAGGCGTGCGACCGTTTCTACTGTACGTTCGCATGTCTTTTGTCTAAAGAGCATGCTAGAAAACCAGCCGAAAACCTTACGATTTTCGGCTGGTTTGAATGATGCCCAGGAAACAAATGCCGGGCTGGTGTGTGCACGCGCACACTGCCCGCTCAGCATTGCGGTCATCGGAAGCCCGCCCCTCAGTGGGGCGGGCTTGCGATGATCGCATGTACGATCTGCCTGTCCAAGATGGACAGATCGTACGTTTTTTTAATTACGGTCTTGCGATGGTTGTAAAGTGTATGGCCACCTTTATGGTCCGCAAAGAGCTTACAAAGGAATCTCATTGTTGGGAATTATCAGTCAGTCAGGAGAAGGATATAAAACATGAGTTGATTACCTGATAACTCTGTTTCCAGGAATCTTCCAGGACAGCCATCGAGATATAGGCTCCGCCTGCCTGCAACAGGAAACACATCAACCACATTAAATAAATAGACTCCTCCTATTCAAGGCATTAGATACATTACAGAACACAGGGAAGATGATCATCAACAAGTGGAGAAAATATGGCACACCAGTGATATTACCAACAACTGTATGACAGGAACAAGCCGTTTGCTGTTCATTTTGTGGAGAACAGGCACCAGACACATGAACTGCGGGGAATGGCCATTGAACATATAGATCGACCATAGAGAGGGAATTACAACTTCTACGCAGGGAAGCATTCTGGATTCACACCCTCGATACAATTATACCTCGAGGGTTAAATTCCGGTTCTTCATACACCTGCTTTTTGTCCGATAGATAGTCTTTTAGACATCCATGAATCACATAATTTATTGGTGTCCTTAAACTTCATGAGCCGACATTTATTTCTAAATCTTTCCTTATATTTTAAAGGTTACTTGCTCCAGTTGATTTTAATTTCGTCCATTGATTTATGATAGCTTGGACCATGCACATTTTTGGAGGTGGTCAGTTGAACCTCCTCTTTACACACCTGTCACCCATGGTGGGATTTTTAAAAACAGTTGTCAATGAATTGACAAAGTGTAGAGGGACTCACCATGATTGGAACTGCACTCATTTAGAAATGCTATCAATCTTAGGATTGCATGTTAAAGAGCTCTCCTTATAGAGAAGAGAGTAATCACATACTTTGACCTACCTGCTATATAATCAAAGTTCTTCCATAAACATGGGAATAGTATCCCTTCAACTACACCTCTTTGAGTACAACTATACTGCAAGACACTGTGTATAAATATATCCCCCCCACCCCCCTGCCTTATTCATTTCGCTTTTCTGTAGCAATATGTTTATTAAAATTTTCACATATCAAAACATAATAAAGATATCGGTTCACAGTATATCAATGCTTTGGTTCTTCATTACAATCCTGAATGCACAAGTAGTAGAGTTACGTGTGATACATAAGCATATTCAAGGAACAGGGAGACCTTGCATTCGCAAGCGCTCAAATTACACAATCGATCTATAACATGTACTGTGAAGCAAGTACCCCGTCTCCTGGCAGTGAGCCGATGATCAACCAGAAACATAAGGCGGGGTAAAGGCCCCAGGAAACAGGAAATCGGGGGAAAGGGAGAAAAGGGTGTCTGGGCGGGGTAATAGTAGCCGTTCACCCGTACTACTCGGGAGAGGGGGGGTCCCATATTTGCATACATCAAGCATCCTAAGGGACATCGATGACTTCCGCCCTTCACATCACACATGGGTAGCCTTCAGCTGTCCAATCCACTTTATATACACCTCGGTAGCTCATTGGGTCTATCCCTGGGTGGCGGGATGAGAACCATGGTTCCCATACACTCAGGAACCTGGAGTGTTTGTCTTCCAAAATACTAGATAGTCGCTCATTAAGCATAATATGATCCAACCTGTTTAAATTCTCCATAAGGGATTTGTTGTTTCTTCCAGTTTCCTGCGACCGTCAGTTTGGCTGCCAGGAAAACAAAGTGCGTCAGAGCCCTCTGAGGCTTACTTAATCCCGGTATGGACATATGGAACAGGGCATATTGGAAATTGATTGGGATATGTGTAGAGAATAAGGAGCCAATTACGGTAGTTTAAATATCCTGACCCAGAACCATGTAGCCAGGGGGCAGCGCCACCAGATATGCATCATATCTCCCTTTTCTCCAGGAAAACAGGTACTTGAGGCTGTGGGGAACAGGCGCGCCACCCTGGCTGGGACCAGATACCACCTCATCATTACCGTATAGGCTACTTCAGCATTTGTAACGCTAATAGAGCCTTTTGCTACATTGCGCCAAATCTGCTGCCATTCCTTCATGGACCACTTTCATTTCGCTTTTCTATCTTTAGCTAAGTGGAACACTGAGTATATAAGATGCAGTGAACGTTCTGGTTGCTCGATACAATGTACCAGCACGGTTGTTACATTTTTCCAACAGGCATCAGATTGAAGTTGTATGTCATATTTCGCTGCATTGTTCAATAAAAAAAATTTTTAAACTTTTATTTTCCGCAAGTGACAAGCGTTGCCCGATTACCTAGCAACCGATCGGTCACCTGATCCGGGTTCCTGACACTCATTGACTGATGGACGGCACAATGATCTTTGTAATACATACGCGCAGACAACACACTGCGCATACACCGTGAGAGCCGGTCCCCTAGACATGAGCAGCCAGCAGGATGCAACTCAGATCCATGGATGACACGGATCGGAAAAAAGCAGGTAGATCTCGGGCAATGCAAGATCATCACTACGGACAAGCTATTTTACCAGTATGTATGCATCTGTATCATGTGTTCAGCATATAGCTAATTGCACCTGGGCAGCATGGTGTGAATCACGTCGTTAGGACGTCAGAGGAGGAGGTATTAGCTGCATTGTGATTGGTGGTTTGATTTTGTTTCACCTGTATTTGTTTGATTTTGTTGCTTGACCCACTCTCCGTTTGCCTGAGGACGGGACCGCATGGTCTCGAAATGTCGCTAAGGAGATGTGTGTTATCTCAGTAAATAAACAGCATTGACTTTAATATCATGGAGTGCGAGTGACAACTTTCATCTATTACCAAGAACTGGACGCACCTCCAAAATTGATGAAAAAACAAGAAACTGGTCCTGGAGGCTGCCAAGAGGCCTTCAGCAACACTAAAGTAGCTGCAGGAATTTCTGGCAAGCACTGGTTGTGTACTATGTGCGAAAACAATCTCCTGTATTCTTCATAAGTCTGGGCTGTGGGGTAGGGTGGCAAGACAGAAGCCTTTTCTCACTAAGAAAAACATCCAAGCCAAACTACATTTTGCAAAAACCTACATTAAGTCTGACAAAAGCATGTGGGGAAATGTGTTATGGTCTGATGAGAACAAGATTGAACTTTTAGCCCATAATTCCAAAAAGAATTTTTGGCACAAAAACACTGCACATCGAGAAAAGAACACCATACCCACACTGAAGCATCATGCTTTGAAACGATTTTTCTTCAGCTGGAACTGGGGCTTTAGTCAAGGTGGAGGGACTTATGAACAATTCCAAATAGTCAGTTTTGGCATAAAACCTACAGGCCTCTGCTAAAAAGCTGAAGATGATTGATCCAAAGCATACCGCCAAATCCAGAAAAGAATGGCTTCACCAGAAGATCAAAATTTTGAAATGGCCCAGCTAAAAGCCCAGACCTGAATCCAATTGAAAATCTGTAGAGTGACCTGAAGAGGGCTGTGCACGGGAGATACCCTCACAATCTGACAGATTTGGAGCGCTTTTGCAAGGAAGAGTGGGCAAAGATTCCCAAGGCAAGCCGATCAACATGTGGCATGTTATTAGACTCCTGACCCAAAAGATTGAATGCAGTCAAACTCAAAAAGTGCTTCAACAAAGTATTAGTTTAAGCATGTGCATATTTATGCAACCACAATATTGTAAGGTTATTTTTATCCATTTACAATTTGATTAGATACAAACTGAAATCTTTACAGATTAGATTTTACATTAACAGTGGAAACAATTCTGCAGTGATTTATCTTGGTCAGATTTGTTTACATCTCATAAACCTGGCATTTTTACAGGGGTGTGTAGATTTTTTATATCTACTGTATATGTAAGGGCAACATTATTTTTTAATTTTGGTGATACATGAGACTCCCTGTCAGGTTTTTGTTGTCTGTGTCCCTGATAGAGAGGGGTGAATCTCCCCATCGGTCCTGGTGACCACAATTACAGAGACAAAAAGGGATGGAAAATCCCAAAATGTTAAGAGTTGTCACAAGAGCAAGATGTGATGAAAAATCATCCAACTGGAATACCTGTTACGTCTCTGCAAGAGGGAAATTTTGTTAGCAATGGAAAGGCAGCAAAAAAATCTGAAAAGGTTTTAAACACTTCTCTACCCAAAACATTAAAAAAAGTTTGCATTTACATGCACTGTATATAACAGAACACTGCAGTTAAAAAGGAGAACTATGGGGCCAGGGCTTTTCCCCATAGTTCTCCTAAGGGTAACGGGAGGACACAAACTAGCGTCCTCCCGTCACCCTAAGCTCAGTATACTGCAAGCTACAGCTGGCGGTATACTGAGACGCCGCAGCTGGGGCGGATCCCGACATCACTGTCGAGATCCACCCAGCTGCGGAATTGACAGCTGGCTTTGCCTATCTTGTCAACGCTGGAGGATCGGACAGGGGAGGGAGGGGGGGGATCCTTGCAGGGAGCCATGAGTGACAGTCACAGCTCTCTGCAGGGATAGATTGAAAAGTGAGCGAGCGACGCTCACTTCCCGATCTATTGAGCCGACGTTTGACAGTTTAATTGTCACTGGTCGGCTAGAACTATGAGGCTGAGTGATTTTCTCTCGCCTCATAATTCTCCTTTACGTGTCATCTATACATACAGAACCTAGGAGACAGTATCTCAAGTTAAGAGGACAGCACCTTTCCTTCTTTAGAGGACTTCCCAACCATGACTCAAGTTAAAAAGGTAAATAATTTAAATCTTTAATAAATAAGCAGATTTCATCATTTAAAATTACATTTTCAGATTCCTGTACAAGTAAAATCATAGGTTCTGTATAAGGTGCATTGTTTGCAGTCATGTACACTTTTATATGTTACAAAAAAAATTGACACAGACTTCTACAAGGTAAAAAAAAGCTGAGGATCATTTGCTGTTGCTACCAATATACCCCTTTTAATTATCTGCTATAATATGGTGTTTTCTGTGGATTTCGGTGCTTTGTACTGTTTTCCTGTAAAAGATCTTAAATGAGCATTTATCGGAAATGTACATGTTTAACCATTTCGCTGCCACTAACGTAAGGCTTATGGTGGAACACAAGCGGTTGCAGCTGGCCAGCTCATTAAGCCTTACATTGGTGGCTTTCTCCCTTCTGCTATAAGCTCATGGTCTCTTTAGCAGTGAAAGGGTTCAAATGGAAAATATTTTAAAGAACATGAATAAATATTTTACTCTAACTATATAAGGCAATATTCCCCACCCCGTCAAATTCATTTCTGTTCAATCAACAGTTTCCTTTTACTAGTTGTAAAAAAAAAATCAGAGGCCACATACCTTCACCTGCATATCCAGGTGGCGGAGTCGAACCAACCAGGACGGCTCCACAAACAACTCCTGCTCTGGCTTTTCTTTCAACTGAGGGTCAAAAAACCTCAAATGTAACGAAACCTAGGGGGAAAAAAAAAAAGGACCGCATTTTAATGTGTTTCTTGGAGGAACTACACTTTTCATGTAGACTGCTGAAAGAACAAAAATGGCAGTCATCTTTCATCTGCACATATTTTGACTTCTACATTCTTACTGGTAATCTGAGAGTAGTGCTGGGCACACATCTTACAACCATTGCAAGACTTTTGTCTTGCAATGGTTGTAAGGTAATTTAAAAAACGTACGATCTGCCGATCTTGGACAGGCAGATTGTACTTGCGATGACCGCAATGCCGAACGGGCAGTGTGCGCTTGTGCACACCGGCCCGTCCGGCTTTTATCTTACGAAAATGCTACACACCCACCGATCGTACGATGCTCGGCGGGTTTTCGAACATGTTCGCAAGTTAAAAGTCGTGCGACATAACAGTAATAGTTCCACACACCTTACGATAATCGTACGATCGTGGGATTTCCCTAAGGCTGGGTTCACACCTGGGCGTATGTTAAACTACTCAGGCAGATTTAATCTCTGACAATCATTAAATCTTTTACATACTAAAAACACTGTAACATACTGAAACTGGTCAGCCTGACAGAGCAACCTCCTAGGACACAGGACAGTAAAACCTAATGGGACGGAGCAAGTTTTTACTTAATGTCCTGAGGGCAGGACTAATACCCATGGGGTCTGCTCTGTAACTGAGAAGACCAACCAACTTTAACGCTAATATATTTTTGTATTCTAACTTTAACCCAAAATTAAAGGGCTGAAACATTCCAGATACACAAGTTTATAAAAGCAGCAGTAGTCACCTCAAGCAGCTGGCTGACAAGGACTGGGGAATAGTATGATGGATGTTTAAGAATGGTCTTAGCAATGACTTCACAGTAATGAAAGGCCTGGGCGGAGAGGCCGTTCTCAGCCAATCGGCACGCATAGATAAACTTGTAAACCTGTGTAGAGGTATGAGATAAAAAGTGTCATTCATTTCCACGATCATATAAAATAATTGCAGCATTATGCAGAGCAGAAATCCACACCTGGATATTGGGTAGGGAGATAGTCGGAGTGCCCAACGTTTGGGCATACTCGTACGCCTCTGTCCTTTGAATGGCCTCATTGGTTGCAAACTTGGCAAAAGACGAGCTAAAAAAAAAAAAAAAAAAAAAAAAAAAGAAAAAAAAAAAAAAAAACCCCCATTTTTCTGAAGCTGTTTTATAGTGGCACACTGAAATAGACACTTTCAAAAGAAACCACAAGGTAATAATTTTATGACCATGGCCTGGTTTCTAAGAAGTTCCAAAAAAAAAAAAAAAAAGAAGAAGAAGGAAGAAGAAGTAAATCCCCATTTATTCTGCTTACCTTTTAAAGCACTCGTCCAGCCAATGAAAAATTACATGAGCTGACTTTTTCTGATTGCACTAAGTATTGAAATGTGCAATTTCACTCTGTGAGGACATTTCTAATTGTTTACAGGCAAACAGTATTGCTGGAAATACATTGAATGTAATAGCTAGTATATTTACTAGAGCCCACAGAAGAAGGAAATTGTATTTTCTGCAAAACGTTATGTTAAATTTACTGCTGTCAGCGAGGAACATAATAAAATCCTGACGGCAAGAATGTTGACTCCATAGTAAGAAACTCGCTTTTGTTAAATCAATGCTCTTGGATGTCAAGAATGACCCCATATTATTGTGTCCCCAAACAAACAATAAGACAAACAATTTTACATGAAGAGCTTCAGTAGTTCTCACCTATGGTTGGAACCAATAAGGACGAGCTTGGTTGTTTTCTTTGTGTAAACTCCAAAGCCAACTTGAGCCATAATGTAGCAGAAGTGAGCAGCGTCTAAGAGTCCTCTGGAGGCTTACAAAGAAACAGAAGTGTAAATCCAATAACTATAAAAACATTAAAGAAAAACTATAGACCCTGAAATAGTTGCCTGTAAAGCATGATTACCCTAATCTACAAAATGGCATTCATATTTAAAAAACAAACAAAACAAATCTATCACAAATTGTGTGTGTACATAGGGGGGGGGGCAACCAAATCTAATAATTACATATGAAGTCGGTGTTTACTGCTTTCAAGAATATTGCAACATTTGGCCAAAATGTGTGTACACCCCCCTTGCCAATATTTTTCTTTCGCAGACTAATATTTCGCAGGCGATTGTAACCAAAGCGGATGATTGTAAAGTATTGAATAGTGTCCTTCTATGGCGAACAAAACCCAGACAGGCAATAGTACAATATAAAATTGTGTTTGGTTCTCTGTCTCTCTTTGTGTCTCTCTCTAGTAAATGTAATTGAGGCAGGCGATTCCACAGTATTGCAGAATATTGTTTATTAGGGATGAGGTTTGGGTCGCTGAGTTGGGTGCATAGCAAATTTTGCATGTTTGCCCAAAATGGTGAATTTCTGGGCAAGTTCACCCAGACAGCACAGTCCATAAGGCTGGGTTCAAACCTAGGCGACAGCGTTTTTGCGAGTCCCTACGCATGCGTTTTTCATACATTTTTACGCACGATTTATGCACATAACTCAAGTTGCGTGTTTTTGTGAGCAAATTCTAGCTCAGGGCTCAAAATTTCCACTCGCTTGCTCGCATTTGGCGAGTAAAAATAAGGTGAGGGCGAGTGGAAATTTGGGTCTCCAAGTACCGGTCCGCGCGCCAACTACGGCCCGCGAGCCGGTACTATGTGGCCCACAGCCAGATGACATGTCAGGCACACGGTCACAGACCCCGTACCTGACTTACGGGAGTAGCTCCACGGTCTGCATCTGTGTCGGATGCAGACCGCAGAGCAGCTCCTGTCAGCCCTGGCTTCCTTCGGCCAGAGCTCCGGCCAAAAGAAGGAACAGTTCTGAGCTCCGGCCAAAAGAAGGAATGTATGTGAGCAGGATCGATGCCTGGTTATCTGGGGTGATGGTGACGTCTGCTGCAGACCTCACTAATCACTCACAGATAAACCAGGGATCGATCCTCCTCCCTGCAAATACGTGAACAGGTGAGGGGCCTGGGGGGGAAGGGGTTGAGTGTATTATAATTTTGTGTGTGTGGGTAGGAGCGGGCAGTGTGCGCCTGCGCACACCGGCCTGTGCGGCTTTTGTCTTCCGACCACGCCACCAACCTGCCAAAAATCGTACGATTTTCGGCAGGTTTTCCAGCGTGCTTGGAAGAAGAAAGTCGTACGACCTTACAGTAGAAGCGGTCACGCGCTGCCCATACACCTGCCGATTATCGTACGGTAATAAGCAGGTGTATGGACACCTTTAGTGTATGTGTATATTAGGCCCCATTCACACCTACAGTATATTTCAGGTGTGATTAGAGATTCCTGTGTCAGGAACTTGCGTTTTCTTGCAGCAGCAATCCCTAATCTGCCGTTTACAAGCGGCAACTACCATAAGATAAGAATTATCATAAGATTATTTAAGAGGGTGTGTTTAGGGGCGGAGTTAAGGCCGGGGCAGGGTAAGGGTTAGGTGGGTCAACTGGTGGCTAGTTACTCTTAAGGCCTGGCTAGTAGCTCAGGGCTTGAAATTTTGAGCCCTGTTCTAGCTCATCGATGTTATTGAGCAGACACGTTTCCTATTGAGTTTATACCATCACGCATCCCCCCAGATACAGAAAAAAGCGGTGACAGACCTTTATGCTAGAAAGCAGAGTTTTTAAATTGTCAGGGACGTCTAGGGGGTCCGAAGATTTGGAAGTCTAAGATGTCTTTTAAAAAACGAGGAACTAGAAGCATATAAAAGATGTAAAAGAACGTGCAGGATTATGGCGCTGATCCCTATTTTTATTTTAAATATCTGAGGAAGCGTTCACTTTAACCACCAGTAACTTATTTTTATTAATCTTATACAGGGTAGCTTCACAAAAATGACCTCATTTAGGGTAAAACACAAGTCAATTTTGCATTGGGGGTTTTGTTGACTGGCACCTAATCCAGTTTGTCTTTTCCATTCAAATTTGCTAAAGCTAAGAGACGACGAGCATCAAGAAAAGCATCAAATATACTATGAGAAGCAACAGTCATCTGATCCACACAATTAATGAAATGGGATCAACTCCAGCAGTCGCCTGTTCTGCATTTAAATGTTTTTTTTTTTCTTTTTTAAACAAAATCATCCTGAAAAGGGACTTAAACAATTTCTGGTTCCTAGATGCTTTATCTGGAAATTCCCAATCCTTATATCAAAAATAGGATGAGAGGAAAAACCTTACAGACACTCATGTGAACCTAGACTAGAAATTGCAGAAGTAGAAATAACAGCACAATCCTCTACTTTTATAGAGGAACACATAGCATCAAGAAGGCAACCGTTTCTTTCTGATGCTGAGTGGATGTGTCACAGCCCAGCTTCTGCATCCATGATATGGTATAGTGTTTATGGCAAGCATACATTGGGTGTATTGTATTCATGAGCTGAATCTATGTGCTGTGTTCCTTAACCAAGGAAAGAAAGAGAGTGCACCCCAGGCACCTAGATAAGTGTCACCAATATCCTATCCAGCCCCTGTATAAAACTTTCATGAGGGCTGCCGCTCCCTACTGAGTGAAAATGACGTCATCAGGATTCAGGAAGAACCTTCTCCATGAAGAATAATAAACAGTTACAGTTTTTCCCAGAAAGTCTGAGCAGGAAGAGGAGAGCTCTCCTAAATGGCCAACTTGTGAAGTACATCAAGTAGAACAAGCATAGGTCACCATAAGAACACCTCAGACGCCTTAAAAATGTGCAGGCCACTTGTGACTGGAAGAACCAGAAACGTCAGCGACACCAATGTAAATCACAAATGTCACATGCTTCTGAATAAAACCAGTAGTAAGACACCGAGTACAAAAGAAAAAAGTATCACTTTCACACAGTGCCCTGCTGAGGACAGTCTGTTCTGACAATTCTGTGTTAAGACAGAAATCGGAAATCGGACAGGAACGGTCTTTCAAACAAAGATCGAACAGTTGATGGGTATATCACCAATTTTCGTTTTTGATATTGTGATCGAAATTGTGGAAACATTTTCTCTGACAAAACGAAAATTAGTAAATCAGTGGTGTTTTCGTTTGTCAAAAATCATAGCAAGAACACAGTACATGTGCAAAAGGAAATTATTTCCGTTGTTCAGCAAAAATTGGTTGGTAAGTAGGGATGCACCGATACTAGTATCGATTATCGGTGCCGATACAGAGTATTTGGGCGAGTACTGGTAGTCACCCAAATGCTCCAATGCTTCGCCCGATACTTTCTGTATCAGGAAGCCGGGCAGCGCATCATTAAACGCTGCCTGGTTTCCTGATTGGCCGGGAAGCGGCTCCATGCTCTCTCGTCACTTGTGATGAGATCAACCAATCAGGAAGCCAGGCGCCGTGTCATGGGGACGAGGGAGCATGGAGCCGGCCTCCCAGCCAATCAGAAAGCAGGGTGTGGCGTCATTAAACGGCGCCCGGCTTCCCGATTGGCCAGCCAGATGGCTACGGCTGGGTACCGGAGGAAGGCCGCGTTCTGGCTGGAGAGGCCCCGGGGGTGACAGGCTGGACATACCAAGGTAAAAGGGGACAGACTTTCTTGTTAATCGGGAAGCCGGGTGGCGAGTCTTTACACGCTGCCCGGCTAATCAGGAAGTCAGGTGGCGAGTCATTACACGCCACCTGGCTTCCTGAATGGGACATCCGTTAAGGTGTACACACCTTGAGATAATAGTACGATAATAGCGGGAAATCCCGCGATCGTACGATTATCGCAAGGTGTGTGGAATGCTTGCGACCTCTGCTACTGTAAGGTCGCACGACTTTATCTCAGGAACATGTTCGAAAAGCAGCTGAAAATCGTACAATTTTCGGCTGGTTTGTGGCATGTTCGCAAGATAAAAGCCGCAAGCGCACACTGCCCGTTGCACACTGCATTGCGGTCATCGGAAGTCCGCCCCTGTCCAAGATAGGCAGATCGTACGTTTTTTTAATTACCTTACAACCATCGCAAGACAAAAGTCTTGCGATGGTTGTAAGGTGTGTGCCCAGCATTACTTGGTAATTGGTATCGGTGAGTACCAGAAAAACAATTATCGTTAGACCCCATTCACACTGAGCGACATGCAAATCGCGCGACTTTGAGCGACATTGAGCGACGAGCGACATCTTCCTATTGGGCTGTATGCAATCAGGAGCAATATTGCTCAAAATCGCTCTAAAAAAGGGTCATGTAGAAGCGACAAGCTACCAGCGACGAGCTACAAGCGATATTGAGCGATATTGAGCGACATTGAGCGACGAGATGTGAACAGCTACATTGAAATGTATTGGTGAAGCTACAAAGAGCGATATAGTGCGGAAATATGAGCGATATCGCTACAAAAATTGCGCGATAAATCGCTCAATGTGAACGGGGCCTTACTCGGTACCAAAATACCGGCATCGGTGCATCCCTATTGGTTAGAATGGCTAACAAACAATTTCCGAAATCCACATTTGACTATATTCGATGGAGTATTTGATCTCTAAATCGAACAAGGGTTTGTGACAGAAACAAAACTTTCCGACCGAAAATCTACTCGTGTATGGCCACCTTAAGGTGGGAGAGGTTCTGTTATTAAAGTGACAGGCTTTTAGTTGTTTTTGCCTAGTGTCCATTTCTCCTAGAGGCAGCAGCATAACCATAAGCCTCAGAATTCTTCAGAGCTGTGTCCCTCAATGGATGATAGAGAAATGGGCAGTTTTGGTCAATGATGTCACTGGGTTTACCCACACCTATGTTTACATTTAGGTAAGAGGGCGGGGCCTGATGGGGAACTCCGACAGGCTAGTTTTCCCAATCGGGTCCTCCTCCCTTGTGACCAAAAGCAGGCTGAGAGGATTCCATAGCCAACAGGCAGCCAAACATTTAATTGGCATTATTTGCACAACTTCTAAAGGAAAGTTCATATCCATCAAGAAGTCAGCAACATTCGTACCACAGTGACAACCGCCTAGATGGAACACAGACATTCAATTTGGCAGCATTAAACCTAAACTAAATATTCCAAAATTACCAAGAACATTTGATTTTTAAAACATTCGACCTACAGCAGAAGTTAAGAGTAACAAACATTTAATTGGCACCATTCGCACAACTCCTATTGGTAATTCGCACAAAAGGGAAGATACGGCCCTTTCACTGGGCAAAATGAAACCATTTATAAATAGACCCCATGGTGTTTTCATACATGCAGGTGCACTGCCATCCTATTCAAAATAAATAGGTTGCCTTAAAGGAGATCTATGAGGCGAGTGATTTCCACTCACTCATAGTTAGAGCCGACCTGTGACAAAGAAGCTGTCACAGGTCGGCTCCATCGATCGGGAAGTGAGCAGAAACATGCACTGCTCACTTCCCGATCATCTCTCTGCAGTCAACAGTGACCGTCAGTCACCACTGCTTAGGGATTTCCCCCCCCCCTCCCCTCTCCTATCCTGCAGCGCTGAGTGGAGGAAGAAACAGGGGGGGGCACACAGCTGGCTCTGCCTCTACATAGGCAGAGCCAGCTGTTACTCACGCAGCTGGGTGGATCTCGACAGTAATGTCGGAATCTGCTGCAAGATGTGAACATCACCATTGAGAGATAGATTGAGCTTCATATTTGAGCAATTTTTGCACGGAAAACACGCAACAAAACGATCACATGTGAATGGGGTCTCATGTAGGGTAACATTTTATCTAAATGTCTTTTTCAAAAGGTACCAAACTTACCCAATGTGTCTCCCATAGTAGTCATGGTTCTCGTTGGTACATCAAAGTTATTGGTTATATTAGACAACACCATAGCAATATGGGGTCTCCAATCACCCCATTTCTCATCTCCACAACACTGTAACAACCAAAAAAAGGAGTTTAATTTCAAAACAAACCAGGGCCAATTAATAGGCCTCAAAACAGCACACCAAGGCTTACTGGCATGTACGACACGCTGAATATATCAGTTCCTTACACACAACTCTAGGCTTGTCTATTGCCTGTCCCTAGACACCACTTCAAAGAATACATGACTGTCTCAAGACAGTAGTACGGCTCTATGGAAGCACACAAACATACAAAGTCTGCCAAGCAGAAGCCCACTTTTCAAAGGCTTACCGTGGCTGCAGCGGGCATCCTTCCAGACAACAGCTGATATACTGTCTGCAGAGGATCATTAATTGGGAGACTGTTGGCAAACCTACATAACCAAAAAAAACAGCAGTTTAGTCATTACAAGTGACTGTGCCATTCTTATAGGATAACTGTGCTTTTACTATCAAACTTGTATAGGGGCCACCCTCTCTATATAGTCAATTGTGGTATATAATACGCACTCTTCAAATGCAGGTTAACAAGTTCCCGTTTTACTGCAGTCTGTCTGCTGCCTTGCAAAGTTTCTCCTCTACCATGCCTTCGCCAGCTTGGAATGCCTGTTATGGAGCTGTATATGTGCACAGCCATATAAAAATTGGCTAAACTGGGTACTCCCACGGCCATTAGTGTAATAAATGCAATGACCGATTACAGGGTAGGCATTGCACAAATTTGCAAAAGTACAGTTACCCACATAGAATCTGTGTTACCACACACCAGTTCAAAGTTGAGATCAAACGAGGGGGAAGTAGGCCAGGTCTGCAAAATTGCGGGTGACGAGTAGCGTTTAAACTGTGCAGCCACACAATTGTAGGACAGTAAGGTGAAAAGATGGTGCGTTTAATGCGACCCTGTCAGACTATCCGAAGCTACAAAAAAAGGTTATGTAGTGAAGTGAGAAGGGCAAAGGAATTTATGGCAGCACAGAGATCAGACATTCCCAGAAGAGGAGAGAGCTATGCCATGCTAGGGAATTGAATTTCCTGCAGTATATACATTTTAATCAGTTCAATAGCACATTGCAAGTGAATAAAAAAGCATTTACGGAAAAGGAAAAAATGCAAGGAAACATTTAAAACACTTTTTTTTCTGTGCTTTGAAAAAACTAGCAGTGGCTGCTGCATTGTGCACAATTACGTCAGTGAGGGGTGGCGACAAAGCCAGAGGAAATTAGTGGTTACGTGACCTGGCAGGATAACATGGTAGCTATAATGAAAAAAAATTAAACAAAAAAGACATTACCTGGTCATGACTCGGGCATGCGTTCGGCTGTCCATTTTACTAGCCAGTAGCAGCGCATGGCCCCACAATCCATGTTTCATAGCAGCCTCCAGAGCATCCTGGGAAAGGTATAGGATGACAATGGGAATTAGTAGCAGAGAAGGAGACAAAGATATTTTAAACATTCATTAGGGATGCACCGAACTTCTCGGCCGAAAATGGTACTATGGCCAAAATGCCAAGAGTACCAAAACGGTTGAAAATTCAGTGCTACCCTAGCTACTCTCCTTCCTCCCAGGGGTTGGTCTGTGTCACCTCCGATGGTCGGGGGACACACAGACCAGTGCCCAGCAGGGGGAGAGAAGCTGTCAGGATACCAAGCGGGGAGGTGCAGGGAGGAGAGAGCTGTCAGCTGTCACATGAGGCCATGCTCTCCTCCCGCACTACCCTGCTCGGCCTCCTGCGACAGGCGAGACAGCGGTCACACAAGGCCAGCGCCCAGCCTCCTTTGACAAGCAAGTTAGGATGGAGAGCAGGTTACAAGCACTCAGCGATCAGAACTGATCGCTGAGCATTTGTAAATAACCGAGGACATAGTATGCTTACTGTGTCCCCAGCTACGAATGAACAGGAAGTGCTCTACATCACTTCTTGTTCATTCATGATTGTGTACATAATAACTGATACTATCTGCACAACTTATGAATGGACAGGAGCAGTTCAGTATAGAGCAGGGGTAGGCAACCTTGGCTCTCCAGCTGTGCTGAAACTACAAATCCCATCATGCTTCTGCCTCTGGGATTCATGGATGTGGCTTGCAATGCCTTATGGGATTTGTAGTTTAAGCACAGCTGGAGAGCCAAGGTTGCCTACCCCTGGTATAGAGGCTTCCTGTTCATTCATAAAAGGGGCTGCAGAAAAAGATTTAGGACTATGGTCCCTCAATCTTTTTCTATTTTAAAAAGGGAAATATCAGGGGTCTGTTTAGACAAAACAAGGATTTATTGCAAAGAGTACATGGGAACAGTGTTACCAGACAGACACAAAGTAGTAGAGATACAGTGGAAAAGGCTTATGTACCTTTTTACGCCCATACAGAAGCAGCTCCCGAAAACGCTCTGTCTCTTTCTCCATAACTGCTCCAGCGATGGGTAAGGTATCCGTAAGGAAGGAGAGCTGAGAGGCGCCAGATTCCTCTTCCTTGTCCAGTGGCTCGTTGAAATCGATCAGATTTGCTTCGTTTGGGGATTTACCAGGAAGCCACACAGTTTTGTGATCTTGTAGCAGCAGCTCAGCTATGTCAGTCCCTACAACAGTCTATAAAGTGAAGAACAAAAGTAGCAGGTTATAAAAGAATGTTTTCCAGCCCACGCAAAACCCAACAGAATAGTAAAAGTGGTAACAGAAGCAAAAATCTTGATGTAGTCAAGATGATGAAACTGCTTTCCATTATGGGCATAAGAAACTAAAGTGAACATATGCCTTGTCTACACAGGGCCCCTGCATCTACTTATATTTACCTTCCCCTGCTGCTTTTTTTGCCTGGGGATGATAAAGTGACATACCCAGGACTTGGGGGTATGGGGGAGCAGATGGCTCTCCTTCCATATAAAGCACTGCTGCTTTGTGACTGAGCTGTGTGTAAGCGTTTTACTCCTGCAGGTGAATAGAAAATTCAGTGCAGAAAGAGGAGTTTAAGAATTTAGTACATTAGAGACATTAGCAAACAGAAGCACTTTAGGCTGTTTGTTATGTCCATTATAGAAAGGCGTTTTGTCATCTATTACCTTCAAACATGGAACACCTTTTTGTGGGGGTAATCGAACATACATTTTTACCCCCTAAATGTTATGGATAGCGTGGCAGGATAAGGCACTTCAACTAAATGTGCATAGAAGTTATTAGACATGATCTCATGCCTAGTGAGGAAAAGTTAGAAAAGGCTCCTCTTACTACAATTTCAGTATGGCGCTTCCTTCCAATTACTGCACACTCACTTCCTGCTACTGTCTTTTAGTTACGTAGAACTATCTGCTATTCCAATCTCTATCTATTTATATAAAGAAGAAATGGCTCTTATGTATGTTGACACAGTGTGTCTGGTTTTAAAGAAGTAGGAAACCCCCCAAGATGTCCCCAGCATCGTTCAGCACAACTTACCCCATTCTGCCTGCACAGGAGAATGATAAAATCCCAGAGGAGGCGGGATGATTGCTGGTCTATTAGGTTTTCATTCTGTGTGCACTCTTTGGCTTTGTTTTGTGCAAAATTAATGACATCAACTTTGTGGGTTTCATCTCTGCAGATACAATGAAAAACGTGACATGTATCCTGACCCAAAAGAAATATAAAGATGGAAAACAGCTCTAAAGCCATTTAACAAATGCAAATCCTGGGCATAGCAGAAATATTTATCTTATATGTCAACTTGCTGTCCCTCTGAAAACAGAGGAAGAAATTAGGGGAGTTGTTGTTACCAGAACAGAAAGATAGTCAGTAATAACTTGACATAGGTTGCAACCAGTCTCCATTTAGTGGAAAAAGGGGACTTTTGTACTCCACATAAAATCAGTTTCTTCATACATTCATTGGGGACACAGACCGTAGGGTCAATTCCCTGCCACTGGGAAATAAAAAAAGCAGAAGCAGGCTTGGTTTCTCCTTAGGCTATACCTTAGTGCACAGCCTGCAAGCCTAAAGAAGTAGCTGTCAAAATGTAGGTTTAAGAATAAGAAGTAACACAGACAAGAGACCTGGGTACTATGGAATTAACTTGGGTTGTACCTCTGTCCCTGGGAGAGCTACAGAACACACACACACACACACACACACACACACACACGGGACAGAGAAGACTGCTGAGATATCCCAAGGCTAATTCCAAATATAAATATGGGCAGGGGATAATTTCCCCCTTCGAGCACTAGAAACAAAAAATGTACGAATGCTGGTCAAGCCTGGGAGTAGAGGAATTATATGTAATACTTAATTCTTCACTCTGGCAGGCTTACACTACGATGTGCGACCAGTTCCAGTTAAGGAGCTCCAGCCAGTGGTCGCACTCTGATATTACTTACAAAGCAGGACCAATAGTCCTGCAATGTACATGAGCATGGTGAGGGCCTGCACACAACATGGGAGTGTACGGGAGAAGAGGCGAGTTCTGGAAGCCTGCGGACCCTAACAATAGAGGAGGGTTAAAACCACCGACAGTACAACACTGGAAGAAGGCCCTACAACAAGATGAGAGATGCAACAAGATGAGGCAGGCTATACAGAATGCTAAAGGCCAGAGAAGCAGCCAAGATGCCTGCTTTCTTAGTGTCCAACCTTAGAACGGCAGGGACATGCAGTAGTCTACTTTACCCCAATGAACGAAAGAAAACAATTTTACGAGATAGGAGTGAACAACACTATGGTCACAGATTATTCCAATCACCTCTATAGTAATGTGACAGTTACAGAGATAAACATACTTGACCAAAGGACCAGGAAAAGCTCTCATCTGCTCTTGTTCAGGAGATCTCTGCAGGATAATCTGAAATATATTCAGGTACAGCAAGTCAAAAACTAAGAAAGGTTCTTGAAAGGAAGAGTTGGAAAGAAAAGAAGAAAAAAAAGAAGAAGATTGCAAATTGATTGGCAGCTTATTTTCTAGTATCGCTGAACCCCAACAACTAATTCAGGATATTTACCTCCATGTTGTGGATTTCTACAAGTGTGGGCTGTCCATCTGAAGGGAGGTTGGGAAGCACTTTAATAAGGTGACCTCCAGGGCCAAACCTGGCACAAACATGGGGGCTGCCAAACTTTTCTGGGGTCAAGGGCCTGGAAGGAACTACAAAAAAAAAAAAAAAAAACCCAGGCACGAAGATTATAATAAGCAGATTATTTTTGGATCACACTACTTTTCACCAAGACAAAACTAATTAACAGAATATCTAAACAAAAATGTAATACATTGCAGCTTACCAGTGCTTAGACATGATGGCTACATTTTTTTAATGTTTCAAGCTAAAAATATTTTTTAGCAAGTACTGAAAATACCTATTGTGCTTGCCAGAAATACAGTGTCCCTGTAACTTCCTGTGAATCGACCTGCTATATAAACAATGTTATTTTCCTTACAGGCTATCTAAACTACTAAATCACCCACCTTTGTGTAATGTGGATGGAGAGGAAGACATGTTTCTAGTCCTGTCTAAGGGCTTTTTCACACCATATCCAGTGCGTTATGCATAGATCGCATAGAGCAAGCCTCCTGTGTTCTGGGGCAGGAGGGGGCGTGGTGGTGCTTTTCAAGTCAATAGCGGGCATTGCTATACCACGCATTCTGGTGCGGGCGATCGCCCCAGGCAAAGAACACAGGGAGGCTTGCTCTATGAGATCCAGTGCTTTCTGGCCACTAACCGTGGCTGAATGCACTGGATATAGTGTGAACAAGCACTTAGGCTGATAATCTTTGCTCCCTTCATAGATGCCCAAGTGAGCAAAGCTACATAATGAAGCAACCACATTGAAGCTTGGTAAGCTGCAATATATTACATTTTTGTTTCTGGGTTTAGATACACTTTAAATTGTCCCATATGTCCTGCCAAAACTACAATACCTTTTTTTTTTTTTTTATAGACTAGATTAGAGCCACTGGTGAGTTTCTTTTTTACTGCTATCTGGAGCTTTTACATTTCAAGTTTTTATCAGACAGTGAATAAAGGAAATCCAAGCACACCAATTAAATGTTTTTTTTTTCTATAGAGATGGAAGGTTGCCAAGTCTCCTATAAGATTTGTATTGCTGTTTTCATCCCAGTGGCAGATTTTCTATTTTCTTGTCTAGTATAACCACTGTCACCGTGACAGTAAATGAGGGGAGCGCTCTCCAACAATAAAACAGAGAGAGTGATAAAACCCAACAAAGGCTCTACTCATTCCATATTCTATCAACAACAAAAAAAAGAGATGCACTTTAATACGGCAAGAACCACTGTGTATATAGAAACCGTAGTTTGTCTGCCGTTTTAAAAAGATACCTTGTTCCACTGGCTGCCACTCTGAGCCACTCGAGTAGCCATACTGGAAGCTGTCCAGCTGTTGCTGTGTAGTATATTCATTTGGATACATGCTATAGGAATAGTCGCCAAGGGGAGGGTTAGCTATTTGGTTGTTGTAGACATTCGCCGTCAGATCCTGATCACTTTTGTAGACCTGACTCTAGAGAAAGGTTCAGACAAATTACACTGTAAATAATGTTATATAATCAAATATTATTAGGAGGGATACTAATAAGTAGCTCACCTGCTGTGAACGAGAGCTGAAGCTGCTGCGGCGACTGTGTGTGCTTCGTTCACTGTGCACGCTGCGGGCAGAATGCTCGCTGTGTATGCTGCGCCGATCAAATTCGTCTTTGGCGAGATCCCTGCGTCCATCAATCTCATCATCAAAGCCACCGACATAGCGAGGGTCGTACTGCCAACGGTCTTCATACACATCATACCTGTTTGAAGAGAAACCATATGTGTTTGTAGATAGTTTTTTTTTTTTTTTTACTAAAAAAAGGTTTGTAAACAAAAAAAAGTTTATTTTACTTGGCTATATCTTCAAGACTATGAGATCAGCATATAGGTTAAAGGCTAAGTTAACCTTTTTGACCATGTTTCACCCATATTTAGGGGCAGCCTAATAACCATTCACTCATAAAACACAGAAATGCACTCTGAGGATGAGCTGATCAGCATAATAAATGGTACCGGATTAAACTCAAAAATGAATTCCTCAAACATTTTTGAGTTTTATCCGGTACCATAATAATAATATAAAAGGGCCACCTTTTGTGGCATGTGAGTTATTACACCTTGCAATGTCTGTAAAGTAAATGTTGTTCTGTGCATGTTTTTCCCCCCCATTTGCTCTGATAAAGCTGTGGGAAATTATAGCACCAAATGAAGTCACTACAATATTATAAAGCTCAGTCGGGGACTGACCTGCTGGTGTAAGCATATGGAACCTTTCTATATGGGTCCTCCCGAGCACCATAAACATAATTCCAGTAGTTACTCCGAGGGTCTCTGTAACCAGGATCATAGGTTCCAGGATAACGATCCCATCTAGAGTGGTCTGAGAGAAAAACAAATGAATACAATAAAATCTAGTCAGCAGTACAAATTAGAAGTATTATATACTGCATGCCTTAAAGTAACTGACCAGCAACTCACCTCCATAATCATACTGACTTTGGTAATAATCTGCATAGTAGTTGGCAGGTGCATTGTACCCTTGCCTAAAAAACAAAACAAAAAACAGAACAGATGCATCACGATCTGATGGCTTCTAATATAGCTCACAAACTCCAGGAGGTGAAAATCCCAATAGAGCATCCATCACTATACATTATAGAGAATCGGTTATCATCTGGCTTGGAAATTGCTGCAGCATTAGGACAGAGCTGAGCATTCTGGAAGATCACATCACTGAAGTCCAGAAGACAGCACAATATTTAAATTTGCCAACACCTATACAGGCCTAAAATAAGCACCGTGAGTAGCGTTAGCCTTCAATATATGTCCATTATGATGGAGAACCAGTCTGACTTGGGGCTTAGTTGATTTATTATTGAGAATGTAGCAAAAAGGATGAGAACACCCAAAACTCTATGATGTACCATAAGAAAGCCAACAATTATTACAGTTTGCTGTCCTCAGCCCTGTCCCCTAGAAAAAAGACTGGGGAGCGAACAGACTTCAACTAATACCGCTATCACTTTTGGTTGGATCGGGACAAAGTTGTGGATCAACGTGAAACAATGCTTTCTATCAGAATACGGACAGTTTCAGTGTAGCACTTATAGTGACCTTAAAGCAGGTCCTAGTATTTCAGGTTGGGAGGCATGCAGTGCTCAGACTTTTTCTGAAAGTATTTGCATAGCTACTTCTGAAGACTCTTTGGAGCTGCTGTACAGTGATGCATCCTTATAATGTACCCATTTTTCAGAGAAATTGTTGTTTTTTGCTCGAGTGTGGATGAAACTTGCCATTTGCCAATAAAGAAACCTGTTGTCACTGTTAACTTGTTTTTGCAGATTCCAGACAGGTCATTCTCATCCTTGGAGCATTATTTAGAGCAGGGGTAGCCAAACTCTGGCCCCTTCAGCTGTGGTGACACTACAAATCCCATGATGCATCTCTCTCCGGGAGTCTCGTCTGTGGCTGTGAGAATCTTTCAATGCCTCATGGGATTTGTAGTTCCACCACAGCTGGAGGGCTGGAGTTTGTCTACCCCCTGATTTAGAGAGTCACTGAGATAGAATGTGCATATTTGGAGTTGGGACAGCTGATACACAGTTTTTCAATGTCAGTAACTACAGCTTCCATAATTGTATCCTGACATGTTGCTCTAACGCAGGGGTGCCCATTAGGTAGATCGCGATCTACTAGTAGATCACAAAGCGAACACTGGTAGATCGCGATCGGCTCACTGACCTGTGCCCTGTCCTCCCGCAGTGCTCGTGCGGCTGAATGTGTCATACACCGCAGACGGGAAGGAGAGAGAAAAAACAGGGAGAGAAGAGACAGCAGAGAGAAACAGGAGAGAGAGAGAGAAGGAAGCACGAGGAGAGAGAGAGAG